CGTCCTAGTTTTACATAAACTACTTACAACATACATCACTTTATTATAGTCAAGTATAATTCCGAAATCCACTTCTAAATTAAGTTACTCAAAAGAAAATCATTAATATAAAGTTCATTAATGAAAAATAATTGATTCTTTGAAAAAGAATGTGAATATTTTAAGAACCTATAAATATTGATACAGTTTTAACATGTTAAACGTAAAAAACTTTAAGACACAACCCAAATAAATGACTACGAATTTAAAAAATAGATAACTTGGTAAATGAAAACATTAACATCAATTTGAACAATTCGACATTTTTAGTCTCCAAAGCGCAAATTTTGTCTAGTTTATCTGTATTTTTTGTTTTATCGAGTATGAATTATATTTTCATAGTACAAGTTAAGAACTTAATAATTATTTAAGTTCTAAACGATTTTTATTTACGTTTTAAATCGTTTTAAAATATAAGTATAGGATACTTCTCTTGGGTAAAATCAAATATCTGAAAAGTGTTGTAAATAATAATTATTTTAAACGCTCAAAGTCCTTGAATGTAAATCACAGATTACTATAACAACAAATTTAACTGTAATCTTCTAAGTATTTTTTTGATATTTTATGAATGAATATAAAAATTTAAATCAAATTTACGATTAATCAAAAATTACTTTCAGTTATATACTAATATCAAAATATATACTTACGTTTAATGGCTTTATAGATATATTATTAAAGATTAAGTGGCTACTTATCCTTAAAATCGCTAAAATAAAGTATTTTAGAATAATCTTTAGTGATTGCTTAATTTATATAATATATATTTTTTATATAATTTAATAAATTAATGCTCTTTATATAACACAGTTAAAATTATACACAAAGTGATCGGGTTTTACAACTCAATTACTCGCAAAAGAATACAATATTGAAAAAAAAATTTTTAGACACATGTTTTTTTAATTGATCAACTTTTAATTACTTTTGTAGAATCGTCTTATATAACTTGTTGGGGTGACAACTTTATTTTTTTTTAGTGACTTATAAAATAGAAAATGATCTAATTAAAAAAATAACTGTTCCATAACACTTTTGGTCCAGTATTTGGAAAGTTATTAACATTTTCATATTTGATCAAGAAGAGAGTTGCAGTCAAGAAATGTCTAATGGTAAACATTATCGTCCACACACATTACTTCCAGTATATATTTTAAAATTGTAATTTCTTCCAAAGCAATGGGTTAAAATTTGTTATCAGCCAATCATTCTCTTAATTAAATAATTTCCTGTTTAATAAACTAGTTAAATATTTTTTGTTTTGGTTAAAAATAAATTAAGTTGATACACTTATAAGTTATAAAGAATAATTCTAAAAAAATTTTAGTAACTAATAATACAAGAAATATATGCTACTTAAAAAAACCAACATTTTTTTAACCAACAAATTCTTAAAAAACACCTTAACTTAAAATTATTTGTTCACATGTTAAAACCATTAATTATATTTTCACGTACATGTTTTTAATAGTATTTATTAATTATTAATCTTTTCAAGATAAATGCTTACATAAAATTATTAATAATCTCATAATTATTATTCATTTATTACATAATTGTATATTATGTTATACAATTACATAATATATACTATTTTAAAATAATCTAACTAATTAACAATTATTTTTAAAATGTAAAACCTGATAATAAAATCAAGAACCTTACAAAATTAAATCTAAGACATTTAAATAACTTTAATAATTACTTCAACATCTAATAAAAAGTCATTAAATTTAGTTGAATAAGCAAATTATTTATTTTTACATTTGAAATCTTTGTGTGGCTTTCCAAGGGCTAGCAGACTTCTCAAGTAAGGACGTTAACTCAAATACAATTACCTCCGACTGGATGACAGGACATCAGCGAAAATAGTGACTAATTAAACAAAAGATGATTCCAATTAATCAGGTATAAGATTTAACAGTTTTATTTTTGAAATAATAAAATATCTTCTTCTTCTTTCTTTGCCTTAATCCCAACTACTCGGGGTCGGCCACTCTTATCCTAGACGTCCACTTGACACGACTTCCCACATTATCTACGATCACATCAGCTGTCCTCAAATCACATTCAATAGCATCCCAACATCTCTTTTTTGTCTTCCTCTACCTCTTCTTCCTTCAACATTCATTTCTATAACTGTTCTTACAGCTTCCGATTCTTCTCTCCTCATAACATGACTACACAATCTAAGTCTATTTTCGGTCATCTTATCCACGATTGACGCAACACCTATACTTCCTCTTATATGCTCGTTCCTTATCCTATCTTCTCTAGTCACTCCACTCATCCATCTAAGCATACTCATCTCTGCTACACTCATTCTCTACTCTACTTTCTTATCAACCACCCAACACTCTGAACTAAACATCATAGCTTTACTTATTACAGTCTAGTAGAATTTACCTTTCTGCCTCATTGGAATAATTCTTAATTATTCTTTTATCGCATAAGACGCCAGACGCTTCTTTCCACTTCAACCACCTGCACTTAATCCTGTGTCTTACATCCTCGTCAATACCGCCGCTCTTTTGCAAAACTGACCCTAAATACTTAAAACTCTCCAACTCATCAATTACGTCCTCGCCTATTGTCACTGATCTCCTCATTTCACCTACCTCGTGTTCTCCTTTGTCAAACTCGTACTCTATATACTCTGTCTTACTCCTACTTATTCTTATACCCTTTTCTTCAAGAGCTAAACTCTACACCTCTAGCCTTTGATTAATTTCCTCCCTATTTTCTCCTATTAACACTATATCGTCAGCAAACAACATGCACCACGACACCTCTCCTTGTATTTCTCTAGTAATTTCATCCATCACTATAGAGAATAAGTAAAGGCTTAAAGCAGAACCTTGGTACACTCCTACTCCTACCCAAAAACCTTCTGATACTCCTTCTACGCTTTTTACCATGGTACAAGTGCCTTCATACATATCTTCTATTATATTAATGTACCTTTTCGGAACTTCTTTTCTCATTAATGCCCACTTTAAAACCTCTCACGGTACTCTGTCATACGCTTTCTCCAAATCAATAAATACCATACATAGCTTTTTTTTCTTTTCCTTAAACTTTTCTATTAGTTGCCTCACACAAAATACTGGCTCCATTGTTGACTTACCAGGCATAAATCCAAACTGATTTTTAGATACTGATGACCCATTTCTTATTCTGTTATCTATTACCTTTTCCCAAATTTTCTTTCTATGACTCATAAGCTTTATGTCTCTATAATTTCCACACTCCTGTATGTCTCCTTTTCCTTTAAATATCGGCACTACAATACTATTCCTTTGCCACAGCCTCTTATACCTCTTTATCACTAATTAAATCTACCAGTCCCTCATTCCACAAAATATCCTCTAATGACTCTTTTGGATACTCTTCATTCAATAATTTTTCAAAATACTCTTTCCATCTTTTTTTCACATCATCATCACTCGAGAGTACCGTATTATCAACACTTTTTATACACCATATATAATGATAATCTTTAGACCTTTTCTCTCTTATCTTTGCAAGTCTATGGATTTCTTTCTCGCCTTCATTTTTTCCTAGCCTATCATACAATACCATAATTCATCATACCTCTTAAACTTCGCTTTACTTACTGCACACTTGGCTTCTTTGCACAAGCGTTTATACTCCATCCAGTCTTCTCTTCATTTGCTCTTCTGCCATACTTTGAATTGCTTTTTCTTACTTTCTATGATTTTTCGAACGTCCTCATCCTACCAACAGGTTGAAGGTATTCTCACCAACAATCTCCTTTGCACAACTAGCAAATCTATTCCACACATCATTTATGTCTCCCTCGACATTCCACACCGTCCTCTCTTTTACCGTCTTTACAAACTCTTTTTCATTTTTCCCTTTCAATTTTCATCATCGGATCTTCAATTTTTCCCCTGTGTTTCTTCTATTTTTGTTTATTCTTTTTCCGATACACCACAATTCCATTACGATCAGTCAATGTTATGTAGTTACACTCTCGCCTTGTATAACGTTACAATCTTTTACTCGCTTTACTCTCTCTCTTCCACATAAAATAATCGATCTGTGAAATAATAAAATATAAAAATAAAAAAACTCAAATGAAAAAATTCTGGCTTAAATAATTTTACTGAATATTTTTATAGATTATTTATTAACAACATTTTACTATAAATATCCGTTACGTATAATTTAGAAAATATTAACATTGATAAATTTACTTTGCTAATTTTACAAATTTCATTATATCTATTTTATATTTAATTCTTCAGCATCTACAAAACTAGTACACATAGGTAAAAAATTTGTATTGATGTAACGAAAATCACTAGCAGGTTATTGCTGATAATATTCCTTTGCTTTCGACCGTTATTCTTTGATTGTCTTGGTATCTCTATACGGTCAATGGTAGAGACGAGCACAATTAACCTGGAGTTATTTTGTTAGTTATCCAAGACAAAGTCAATGCACTGAGACATGAGTATATCGTTTATTACATATCCTTCTGTAAGATAATTATTTTTAGTTTCTCTGTTTAATTTTGATATTTTTTAAAAGTACGCAATTTTAATTTAATAATTTTTTTTTCTTATAGAATATTGTACATATGAATAACTAGTAATACATTCCTTTAATGGATGCATAGAAGATGGTTATTTTTGATTTTTATTATAAAACTCACAAAATAAAATCGAATTAATGAGTTCAGTTTATGTTATAAAATAATGACCAAGATTTACATTTTTTTCCTAAGCTGTCTATAACGTCAATAGAGATTTTTTAGGCGCCATATACACCATAGTACCGTGTTATTATTTTATTATTAATAAAAGTATTTATTGTTCACAAAATGATATTGTTTATAGTATTATCATAACTCAATATATATTTATATATGTATATAACAGATGTAATATTACAGAGTATAATATAACTTTAATTTAATTGTATTAACTTACTTTATGTTGTTTATTTGTTAATTTTTATTCCAGTTGGACACTTGATATATTTACATATGTGCAACATCATTTTATTTCCGTTAATTAATTTGTAAAATACGTGACAATGAACACACCGAACGTTTATCGACTATGAAGCGCACAATGTACACTTAATAAATTCTTTCCAAATTTTAAATTTATCACGACCTATTTTTAAATGTTTTTTTTCTATTTAACAATTTTAGAACACTACAAACTAATAAAACTATATTAGGTTATTTAAATATAACAATCATTATTTCTTATCACTTAAACCTATTAGAAATGAAGATTTGAAACCGTTTTCATTACATTATGATTATAACTACTAAAAAATAATTTCAATCGAAAAACTTGCAACTATTAACAAAAAGTGTATAATAACGACAAATAACAAATACTCCTAACGAAATAAAACATAAATTGATACATTATACATAACGTAAAACGACATAACACAAAAACTAAACAGAAAACAAAAAAATATTATAATCCGAGCTTGTTAAAAAACCAAATAAATAATTATAATTCAAGCCCTGATTGAAATAAGTTATTCCAAATAAGTCTAATAGTTAGATTAATTAAAATCAAATGTTCAGTATCAATATTTACAATAATAATGCATTTATAAAGTTATCCTTAGCCTTTAGGGCAAATATTTGTGGTCGGGTCTACCTTACAATGATTTGAAAAGATTTTTACGTTCACTTTCAATCTGATACAACTTTATTATCAGTAAGGGGCAAGGTGTATGTCACTGTTAGGAGGTCTGTAAGTTCCCGTACGGTCTCCTACCTAGAAAATAACATCTAACTAAAATAGCGCAGCTGAACATCAAAGCTAAGACAGCGTCTGAATAATCTACTACGCCACATCACGCTCCAATACATTTATGGTATACATGAGTAAAATAAAATAATATTCAAAAAAATTAATTATCATTAATTAGCTAAAGTTTGTTTGAAAACTTGATGGGTTGTTTTCGACCTATTCCACTAAATACCATTGTTGACTTGGAGGAGCACTATTCACCTAGAAATCAACAATATACCCTTGGAAACACTTCGCAACGCCATTGGAACCTTCATTGCCAGGCTCACACAATTCATAGCTAACAAAGGATGGCATTTTACTAATACTATCTTTAAAAAATGATATTTTAACATTACAACATTATTTTCCATTTATTTACTCTGTACTTGTTGATCAAAATATATAAAAAAAATGACTTTTTCTATTTTTGTTTATTTTTTCAAATAGTTGAGTTTGACTGTTCCAGTCAAACTCAACACCCAACCCCTTATATTCATATACTAATGTATAAAGCGTGTATTGCTTTCAATAAGCATTTTTATAAAATAATCAAAGAATTATAAACCTAATATTAATTACTTAACCGCAGTGGTTAAGACAATATTGACAATCAATACGTCAATTTATTCTGAATTAGAACCATAGGAGTGCGCAGATTTTAATTTCCGATAGTCTTGAAAAAATGTCAAAAAAAAACAATAAATTTTAAAGAAGTTTTTCATGTAATATATATTATTGATTGTTATTAAAAGTTATTAAACTCCCAACTTTATTTTCGCTCTAATGAAAAATTAATAAAACTACTAAAATAGTTTTTGGAAAATAACTTCAGAGGTATACAAGGTAGAGCAATTAAATTAATTTTCAATTTTTATTTATATTATAAAATGTATGTATCCAATTTTTGACACTAAGGAAAGCTAAGTTTCTTAACAGTAGTTTGGATGGGTAATAAATACAAATATGATAATATAACAATAAAAAATTTAACACAATGTTGAATTGTATTTTTTACTTATATTTGGTGAACCAGAAAATAAAAACCCCAAGATTGTTAGCTATTACAAACGCAATTTTCTTCATTCAAATCTGCGTGCACTGTATTTCTAAGTATACCATTAGATAAGCCACCGAGAATAACAATATTGATTTAAAGTAAATGCAATTTTTCTTTCACAGAAGTAATTTCATAAGGTAGTTTGCCAGTATCAATGGCTGACATTTAAGGTGTTTTAATTTTAAATTGCTTTACATGACAGAGAATATAAAGAATAAAAAAATCTGATATGACAATTAATTATGCATTTATAGATTTATTATTGCGATTAATCACAAAAACATAATTTCAACATTTAAAGTTTTCTATCCAGAAATATGTATAATATGCATGACGTCACTAACCTACAATTAGACGCTTTACTTGACTAATACCTTTTTGAAGTAATGAAATAGTCATAGTGAAATAATGTTGGGTAAAAAAATTAATTTAATATATTTTTAAATTATACTTTATATTTAAATTATATGCATATCAATACCAGTATGAGTATGGCGCTAATGATGGCAACATTGTTCCCGAAATACATGTACGCAATTTTTTAGTTTTTTTTTATGGTTCTTTGAGTTAAATATTTTAAATATACCTATTTTTAAATATTTATGAACTATTTGATATTTATGATACTCTTACTATAAATATTATTTAGAAATTGTATTTAGAACAATATTTATACATTTACTTTGTTAATTTTACAAACTGGTATGTATTTATCATTATAACATTTTTAGTTTATTTATAGAATATTGTGGACTTTTTTGCATTTAAGTAATTTCTCAAAATTAAAAATGTGATAATGAAAAAATTTGGATTTTTAAGGTAATATGTATTTACTAAGTTTTTTAAATTTTTACATAACAAAACTTTTTTATAAACTTTAAAAGTGCATAATTTTATATTAATCATCTCATCTGACTACAGTGAAAAACCTTCGTAACATTCTTCTTCGACATCGACAAATCAACTGAAACAATTCATCAATCTAACATTTGACCTCTGTAATTATATTATGTGTGGATATAATTCAATAAACTTTTATAAATTAGGAATATACGAATACTCCATGTATTTAAAAAAATTCAAGAAAGTTATGACAAAACTAAGAAAAAAATTAAGTTGTCAGGAATTTTATTTTATTTTATTAAAGAGTTAAGTGCGATATTTTATCACTTTAAGACCTATTTTCTAGATTCTATTTTCAATGTTATGTAACAATATTAAAAGATTCATATAACTGAACTTAACCGTAATCATTTTACCATGAACTAGTATTTCAAATAAAAGTACATTTACAATTAATCAACGTATACGTTGATTACATGCACTTCATCATGTAAATATAACATGATAGTAATAAAATATCAAATTCTAAAGTGATTTTTTATGGAAACTACCCATAGGACAGTTAACGAACTGTGTTTTTCAAAATGTTTGATAAAATAATACAGAATGATTTTTTTATCATAACTCACTCAATTACTTGCAGAATAAAAATAATTAAAAGATTTTTTTTTATGGTTACCTATAGTTAAATTTTAGTCTTGAATTATTAGCTATGTCATATTTTTTAAATTCATCCCTTATGTCTTGTAAGGATTTCAACATTACTTTTTCAATTGGGAACACATTATGAATTTAATAAAATGTTTGAGTTTTTAATTTAATAGTAAATAGCATTTGATTTTTTAATATAAATTGATTCTTTATTAGATATAAAATGTTAAGTTTTTGAATTAATACACGAGGGATTACAAATACAGGTAGCTAATTGGTGTTTTATAATGTCGCGGAATGTTTGTTAATGACTATCAATAGAAATGCTTTATGTATTGTCAGTTGGTGTATTTATAAACTCACAATAATGTGCGTTAATTTGATAATATATGCTGCGTATCTGCAAATAAATGACGTCATAAAAACCAATTAGCTACCTGTATTTTTAGTCCCTTGTGTATTATACATATATATTAACTAAAAAATTGAAACTTGAAATGTTTATATCTAATAAACGAATAAAGTTATATTAAAAATTCAAATGCCATTTACTATTAAATTTAAAATTTTATTAAATTCAAAATATGTGTTCCCATTAAAAAAAAAAGTTGACACCATTACAAAACATAAAGGATGATCTTAAAAAGTATTACATAGCTAACAATTCAAGAATAATATGTAACAAAAAAAAAATGTTTAAATTATTTTTATTCTGCTAGTAATTGAGTAGTTTATTAAAGTTGTAAAGATCAGGTTCCATTCCGCTAATTCAACTATCTTGTAACAATTTTGATTTTAGCTACGATGCATAGCTTAAAAAGGTTTTGATTTTACTCTAGCCGGTCTCTTTTTTGTGTCAGTAGACCAAATTTATCAACTAGGCCTACTAGACTGACTTTATTGACTAATACACCAAAAGATCCTAAAACGAATCTAGATGCATTTGTAATTGATATAGTTTTAAAAAGTTCCCTCGTCCCCCTAATAAAGAGAAATGTACAATTATTATAAAACATTTGACATGGTTTTTTTTTTAGTTTTTCAAAGCTAGATGATTTATTACAAAGTTTTTATTAAGATTTTCGACTTACTATTGACATACTTTTTTTTTAAATCCAATCATTGTCCAAAGTACTGGGAAAACTTAAAAGTGGTATCATATTTTTTTAATAATATCTCAATAGACACTGTTCTATAGACTTCTATAAACCTTTATAAAATTAAAGATGATATAATTTACTTAATATGAGAAAATAAACATTGTAAAAGAATTTTTTTGATCTAAATTTGACTGCGGGGATTGAATAAGATATCAGGATAACTTAGATACACTCAGTTTCCCGGTACATATTCCCATTATACCTCATATATATATATATATATATTAATAATAAACGATGAAAATAATATTATAATAAAAAAGAACGATGTTTTAATTTATAATATCACTTTCCATGTGTATCAAAAATTCTAAAAAAACGAATTAAAATTGAATCTTTATACGATTTCACCTTTAGCTGTTACCAAAAGTTTTCAAAAAAATATTTTTACGAGAAAATTAATTTTGAAATGACATTACTATAAAAGATTAATCGAACTAGAAGGAAAACGCTTGAACTAATAAAATTATATTTAGATCTTGAAAATGTTGATAAATGTTAATTGTCAAAAACATAGACAACTAAAATAAATTCTATTATAATAATACAATTGTAAAACCAAAATCAAAAAAAATTAATGTTTACAAATAAAAATAACTATATGAATATCATAATTTTTTTTTGATATACATATTTGAATATTTAACACAGTACGTATGACTCTCACGTCCGCTCCAAAAATCTCTTTGTCATTAATGTTATATATCTTTTCTGTAAATACGTGAACTCGACTTTCAGTTGAGATCTTGGACAAAAAAGATAAATGAAACATAGTCCACGACTTCGAACGTCACTAGACATATGCTCAATTACCGAGGACATTCTTAGTGTGGCATAGAACATGTGTAACCGGAGAATCATTGCTAGTCATCGATCACTCATTAGTTTTTTCGTGTACTCATAAACAATAAACAACATGGCCGAGGATGGAACAGTGCGCACCAATGTCGGCGCTAGGCCACTGTAAAGGGCACTAAAGCCCTCGTTTTGATAGATATTCATCAACATGGGTACCCATCTACGAGTTGAGATCGCATCATCCAGTTGAATTCGCGACTTGACCACGTCCACGGGAAATGTTACTGCCCACAACAGGATACCTCCAACACCGCCAGCGACAGACGTTGCGACTAGTCCACAGTCTTCTCGCGATCCTCCTTCAGGTTTCAGCGTTTCTCTGATGGCCTCGTAAGCTCCGAAAAAACAAAAGTAACTAGGCAGTTCTCGAGCCAAAGTTATTGTCAGTCCTCGGAACAAAGCCAGTACACCGTTGTTGTTCACAAGTTCCTGCAATTGGAAACCAAAAAAATTATTTTTGCACCAGAAGTTCGTTGCTATTACCTAAATATTCTCATTACTTAAATTCGTAAAAAATAAATAAAAAATCGTTGGGTATAATGACTTTCGTATGAAACATATTAAATATTACAGTAAATACTTAAAGAGTATGGTTTTGTTTCAATAATTTATAAATAAATGATACAGTACAAGCTTATTATTTTGTTGTCTTGCATTTTTAAATATAGAGTAAGAAAAGTTATCATCATCCTAGAGCTCCAATTAAACGTATGACGCGGTTAGTCTTGTTACATAATGAATAATAAATGATAGCACTGTCAGTAGTGCGACAATAAATTTTAATTACAGAGAATTCAATTAATATATAAACTGGAAAAGCATAAGAACAATACAAAGCAACTCAACAGAAAATTTTCATTTGTATTATTCAAACACTACAAGTTAAATACATTCTACTTTTGAGAAATCAACTCCAATAAATAGATTAAATGAGTTTTACTAAGACAAATCAAGACATCAGAAACGAACAATCCATTGAATAATTTCGTACAAGTTAATCTTACCCGAGTTGCAAAAAACAATTGTTGTGGAACTAGTGATCTTATAAAAACGCGAATGATTGGGAAGCGCACGCGAGTTTTTCTTAAGATTCGAGTGAACAGTTTTTTTCGAGCAAGATAAATTTTAAGTAAGCAAAATAATTTTGACAGTTTTTCATAACCAATACACATCAAAAAAGCTTCGTAGAAATAAGTAAACAATTTCGAGTAGCGGCGACTGAACCGAAAATTCATTACTGTAGACGACATGCTGACCTGTATGATTTCATTAGCTTTGTTTCTCGATATTTTTTGACGGTCTAAATACGCACGCCTCTCTTCTTCGTCTTGCACGCCAATTCGATACATATTTCATTCGTCGTTTTAATTCCACAACACACTTTAAATGAACTGAACAAATAATCAGAATAAACAATGACGCTTAATCAAATCTACCAAGCCGTGAGTATTCTCCGTTGGCCATGCAATCATCAAGACGCGAATGTGTCTCACGATGATATTTTTAAACACCCAAGGCGTCGTGTACACGACAATGGTGACATATTTTTTAGTGCGACATTTAATTTGCTGACTTGAAAACAATAACGACACATCTACCGAGTATAGCAATGATATACTTCATAGTCAATACACAAAGGAGTACTCTTTTAATGAGACGTTTCAATCGAAAGAAAAAATATGGAATTTAAAAAGTATCTACAAAAATGCAGTATTTTACTCTGCACGATAACATTGCAACTCTAATCAAGTAAAACGGCTTGCTTTAGTCAGTAAATCACCTCTTAAACATCTCTCTTATTTTTCTATTGTTGTTTAAACAGTGATAAAATATTTTTGTTGCACGATTTCAATAAATTTAACTGCGATTCTCGATGTGAGACTCATACGAGTATCTTAGGTCGTAAATTATGAGGCAGAGTATCCATTACTGTTGTTCGACGTTGTGCTGATCAACATTTTATTGAAATACTTTGGTCGAGATGATATATTTTTAATGGTGACTAGAAAAAAATCAACCGGAAGGATTAAAGTCGCAGTACTATGACGTGTATAACGCCGGGGAGACATTGAAGAGAGCGATGAAAAACTTAAGGTATTCCAATACGGTAGTTCTCGGTCAATGCGGAACAAATAAATGTATTTTATGGGGTAATAAAAACATTTTACGACCCATCCCCGCGCTCATCGTTTGAAACGTTTCGGATAATATGCCTCTGTTGACGACAGCACTCAGATATTTGCGCTTGGTAGCCGGACACTAAATTCAGACGTATTACGCACAACGGTAATAATAATAATAATAATGTATTTATACAACTTACATTTAGAATATAAAATTTCATAAAATAAGGCGGTTTTGAACGCGAAACGCCGAAATTCAATTTGGTATTAAACGCTAAAGTCTCATGTGGCGCACACTGAAGTTCAGCAGACCACGTCAACATACCAGTCTGTAATTCAATATCCAAAAGACACTTGTTTTCGGTCTACTACTTTTTTCGGAAACTAGTTATCCGTTGAAAATAATAATGAGGTTTAAGAATCGATAATAAGTTTTAAATATACAAATAAAGCAAAAATCTTGCAACAATACGTTATAGAAACGGGCTGAAACATTTCAAATAAAAATATAAGTACATCAAATGTGTCAAAAAAATACTCCAACTATAAAATATAATGTGACCTTTAGACTCGACGTAAAAAACAATTACAGACACACAAAAGGTTTGTGTGTGCAACATTATTCAATCTGTACTTTAGTAACTGGGGGGAGTGTATATTTGTATATTTATTCAATTATGATGGGACATAGAAATTCAAACAGGCCTTTGTCGTTGCCACAGCCTAAAACCGAACCCGACCGGGATGACCTATTAAAAGCGCTCCGTAATACCGACTGGATACACAAAACAGAATAATAGACCTCTGAGAAGTTTGCACAGTTATTGTTGCCTAAGGACGTTTAGCGCAAGATGCACAGTAATTAAATGATAAACAAACCAAACACATTTTTCACTGCCCCATCGATAACCATCGGGAATATTTCTGTAAAAAATATTAATGAGTTCAATAGACATTCTCAATTAAAGAAATACTCATAAAGACGAGTGGACGTCTATTGTAAATGATGTATTTTATTGCGAGATATTTTTCCTTGAATTGTTTTTTAAACTGAAATATGAACATCCAGACACACTTCATCTGACAGTTTATTAATTAGCCAACTATAGACTAAATGTTATGGCGACATTTTATTTGTTTATCTTATGATGTGGGTGAAAACAAAAGTTCTTAATTACAACAACCCTTCAATTCGACTTCGGGCTGTCTAAAGGATACAGATGGTTCCAACACCCTACATTTTACGCCCCTCTGGTAAATCACAACTTTACAGAATTTCTCTAGACAGTCGTTTAAAAAAAGGGATAAAATTGCATTATTTTACAAGATAGTCGTAAAAAACCATAATTTACCGGCTATTCCTGTCAAAGGGGATAAAAGTAACGCGTTTTATTCAGCGGTTGAAACCATTCGTACATACAGAAGTACAAAGAATGAGTTGATTTTTAAGTATATTACTGTGCATTAAATACATTTAACTTTACCGAACAGTAATAAACGTGTCAACAGAAATGGCGTTTGCTCAAATCAAAAAAATGCATACTCTTTTAAAACCGTGTCAACAGAAAATAATAATAGACAACTAATGAAATGTAAAATGAATATTTAAAAACGCCTATTGAAAAATAATGATATCCGTGTTTTTAATTGTCTCTATTGATCTCGTCGTCCGAGTTGTGGCGAAAAAATAATAAAAAACATAGTTATTTAACAAGCGTTAATAATACAACTACTTGTAAACAATACGATTAAAAATAGACTAAAACACGTTGTGTAAAACTGTTGCAAACAAAGTACACAATATACACAATATACACGTCGAGTTAAAATTATTTTTTTCGTTTTATTCATACAGAGAGCATTTGTACATAAATATTATCGCAACAAATGCCGTCAATAAACTTTCGAGTGTTTGAAACATTGAAAATCTACGTTATTCGTCGAACTGTTAAAATTATTCAAAACTGGCAAAGTAATCTCAGAAACGCTGTTGTTATAATTTAAATTCGATACTAGGAATTCATAAGAGCTGTACATTACAAGTTCGCACACCATTTCAGATTTAACCTGTCGAGATCATTGAAAATACACAACCTCCGCCCGCACGACGATCCGAAAAGAGTTAAGTAACTCAGTCATCCGAAACTTAAAGCACGAGTCTAGTGCCAGAAGACAATGAGAAGTTCAAACAACAGCACTTGGCAAATAGTGACGAACGAGTCGATTTCCATAGATCAAATATAACGAATACCTACCGCTAAATTTTCAACAAGTTCCCAGATGTTTGAGAGTTACCGATTCATATAGCCCTGGTAGAAAATTGTACTATTTTGCCAATTTTTGACCTCGACGACTAAATTGTGCATATGTGTACAGAGAATTTTTTTCTATTGTAATTTGCATTTAATTTATTTTGCGAATTTACCAACTATTGCTGGGAAATATGTTTTAAAATGCATTCATCAAACACGATTCGAATATCTGGAATGTGACATATTTCTAAACAATGCCATTATAAATTATGTTAAAGTGTGTTTAGTTAAGCAAAATTATATTGTAAAACGGTTGCATTTTAAGTGCTTTTTCTCGAATGGTCCGATGACGTCACGTGTCGTCGTTAATTCTTCAATACGCTAATGCATTAGGAGCACACTGTTTATCACGCGACTGTTTTATCAAATGTAATAACTGAAAGCCGAGAAAACATTTGAAAGTGAAAATTATTGTTTCAATATTTTTCATAATAAAATAAATACCACGTTATTTACACGCGCGTGTCGAGTACGGAATTGAGTTTTGAGATTATTTTTATCGATTATTTATAATTCTTCTTCAGCAAACATATTCTGTAGTATCGAATATTTTCCTATCCAAATATCACTACAGAATTTTTTTTAACAAAAATAACTTAATTATCCGACATCACTTGTCTCGGTCGCTCACTTTTCTTAGTTGTCAATGCTCAGGTACTGAAAATAAGTTAGAATTATGTTTTATTGTCACATATATCAGTATGACTCAATTATATTGAGCCTACGGTTTTACACGATTTACAATATTATTTGATAATAATTTTATCATCGAAAAATAATTGTTAATAATATTGTAATATTTAAATAAGTTATACAAATCGGGTAAAATATATTTATTTTATTATTAAGAAATTCGATATAATATCATTGTTATACTGGGGAAGACTGCAATAGATATAAAACTGCCTCGAATAAAGATAAGTAATCTCGTCCTATTACTGTAGAATGATTAAAATTTTTTTTTAATCATCAACAGTTGAATAATGATTTTTTTACCTAGTCAAGTGAAATTTTTCATTAAGTCCCTTGTAAATAAGTGTTAACTACTTGAAAAAGTTCTAACTCCAACTTTCAGTATGATTATACCGCTTACCCGCTGGATGTTGTGCAGAACTCCATTACCTTTGTGACGCGTAAAACGCCGCCGTTAAACTTTTCTCCCCTGGACTTGGCCAACTCGCGGCCCGCCTGCAGTTTAATTTTGATCAGTTCAGTAGGACAAAGTACGACGGACGAAAAAAAAGAAGCAACGCAGCCAGCCGTGGCGTTGGACAGCACGTCCAACTGTTTGATGTCCCGGGCTCCGGTAACGGAGGCTACCATCCGCTGGCACAGTCCGTAACACAAGAACAACACCGAGTTTTCAGCCACACTGGCTATCAGGGCGGGATAGGTTCCGGCGTACAAGCCACGTATACCCGTCGTGCGGTACGTGTGCATCAGACAGTGTGCCGGACCTCGGTACAGGCCCCGAAACGTCTGCAACTTAGTTTTGACCGTGTCGAGCGGTTGTCCCACAAGCACCAAGGCGATACCACCTATGGAACCGGCAACGAAATCCGCCGCACTCTCCTTGACGTGGCCACTTCTTATGTCGGTAATGTTACAATAATTATCGTAGTTTCCGATACTGAATCTGATACTTGCTGTGCTGTTTTTCTTACAGTTGTCCATCGTTAAAAAACTTCCGTCGACGATCGCGTCTAGACTAATGTTATTGCAACGTTGACAGTATTATTGTGTTTTAGGAAAACAAGATAATAACATTAAGTTTAAATATTATTATTACTCTTATATTTTCAATTGTCACGCTCTTAACGCACAAAATTGTTTAGATTAGATAAAAAAGAAAAAAAAACAACACTTCAATAATGTTTTGTTGTTATTTAACTTGTATTTATTTAGGACTAAACACCATTGACGTATATATTGGTTCAGCTATTTATTTTTTTTTTTTTAAGAATAAAATTTTTATTAAATAAATTCTTTTTAATTGGACAGTTTTTTAAGATAAATATTGACTCTCGAAAAAACAATATACAGTTATTCATTTTGAATGTAATACTTCAAATAAACTAAATATGCTGTACAAAACCTTAACAAGTATTAATTATATAAATTTACTATCACTATAGTTAAAGCTTAAATAAATTGAGATAACTATTCAGTTAAAATGTTGTTTAAAAAGTTCCATAAACTTATTAAATACTCTATGCATATTATCAATTGATGAGAAAAAAAGGACAAAAGATACAAGAACCAAATCTTAACTTTATAACTTTTACATTACTTTAGTAATGTCAGTAATATCTGTGCTCACAACTGTGTGAATTTAAACAGCAGGATAAATAACAATTTTCACAAATAACAAATGTTTTTAGAATATCTTTTTGATTTGATCTTCACCAAATGTGCATGTGTGTAATGACTCGACCACAGCAATTTGTGCCGTTCAATTGAAAGTTATCTAGAAAATCCAAAATATGTCGGATTACATACAAACAGGGAGGACGGTTACTTTTGTTTTACTTGGATACCATAATCCACTTGAGTACAGACGATAAGGGTTTCGATAAAACGTAGATATGATATTATATAGTAGTTAAGTGGAGCAGCAAATAATTATTTTTCTTTTCCTGTTTTTTCGTTTGAAATGCAAAAACCATAAAAGTGAGTTCTATTATATATTAGCCGCCTAACATTATATTGAATAAAAAAAAAATTACTTAGGAATTTATTAATTTTCTAAATTTACAAAATAATAAAGACTAAATCAAAACCAACAAAGGCGCACATAATACACAAAATAATTTATATGATCTAGAGTATATTTTAAGAAATTTTGATTAAATGGCATTAAAGAGGCATATTTACGAGGAGTTGAAGTTTATCTTCCCAAAAATAGTATAATAATTTTTGTATAAGTCATACTAATACCACCTATTTTATACGTTAAAATATTCTCAGGCCTTTTCATATAAATATTTTGTAAAATATTAGAGAAATTTTAAAGCTTTTTCCAAAAAAAAATCAATTTTATCTCCTCTTGAAAAAATTTAAAAAAAAACTAAAGCCATCCACACTAACAAAATACTGATTCAATATGATTTATTTGTTCACATAGGAAGGCACATCATCTATCTTTCCACTTTAAGATCAATTTTACTCATATATAATCTTAATTTTTGTTTTCCATACGCACATCACGAATGGTATCGTGCTCAGACCAGGGAGCCTATAATATAAATAGGTGTTTTAATAAGCAAAGAGAATTGACAGATGTTAAATCCTCCTATACTTTAAAATTACCACAGGTAATGCCTTAAAAAATCATTCATAAAAGAGCTATAAAATACGAGTGTAAATAACAGAAAATGATAAAAACAAGTACTGTTTTAAAGTATATAGTATAGATTTCGTTACATTTGAAGTTAAGTTGTCAAAAATATTAGCTCTGTCATACCAATAATTCATAAAAGTTAAAACCACGAACAAAGAGAACTTTGTTTCAGAATTGTAGTAAAAAACACCCGACCGTCTAGGGCTTAGTCATAACATTATAGATTCTGTCGTAAAAAATATTACCTCAGCTTTAACCGGACCACAGAAACCTATTACCATTTTTCTAAGACCATTTCCAAAGCATTAAACACATACATTTTTTCAGAAAACTCGCAAAAAACTAGGGTTGTGATTATTCTAAAATAAAAATAAATGTCTAATAAAAACATTACGGGCAAAAAAAAATGTTTAGTATACTACAATCTTCTTTAAAATGTTAATGATCAGTTATTTCATTTCAGAATTCAAGCCAATAATGTAAAAAACATTTAAATAATACGGTGATAGTCCACACAGCTTTATAAGAAAACTGAATTTAATTAATGAGTTTTAATAAGACCGTCTTGTTTAATTTATGTTATAATTTTATAAAACGATAATATCAAAATAAATAAATTAATCAAACCAACTTAGGATTTAATTTATAACATATTAATATCAAATCATATAACTATTATTAATTAAATTAACATTATATAATACTTCCTTACAAATTTTATATGAATCATACACGATAATAAAAATATAAGTTATTTTCTTTCATTCGTCTTGGGTATCATCACAACAGTGTTTATAGTATTCAGAAAAAAAAATTCTGAATTCAACACTAGTTTTCGACTGAAAACACAAAAGAAAAGTAAACATCAGATGATAGTAATTTAAAAGTATAATATGTCACTTTATTAAAATACAAACAGAAAACTTTTTAGTATTTTTACAGGAATCATTGGATATAAAAAATTATATAAATTAAAGCAAACATGTACATTGTTAGTACTGTTGAGAAAAATTATTTTTAATGTTAATATACCGTGTGGTATATAAATATTTAAAACGATTTCATAAAAAAATGACATACTAATTAAAAAGTAAAATAATACTTGCGAGTTCAATTAAATATAAAGAAAAAAGAATTACAAAAAATGTACATAACTTTCTTTAATAGATTAATATTTTAGCTTCGATGCGAAGCTGAGAAGGTAATAATTTTATTATGATGTGTTTTTTTATTTATTTATTTTTTTTTTGTGTCTGTTACCACTTTTTCTCAGCTCTCACCGAACCGATTTCTTTCAACGATACGTCAAAAGATCACAAAACGTATCTAGTCAAAGACATTACCCTCAAAAATTGAAAAAATTTACCTCGTTTCCTGTAAATGGGGCAAATCTCCAAAAAAATTACAAATTTAATAATCGCTAATTTTCGAAATGTATTAAATTTTTTTTACTTAAAACTACCATAACTTTTTCAAAAATAAACAAATCAATATAATTTTTTTTTTTTATAAATGCTTGATGTCTTTACCTATCATTTGGTATATTTTTTTTATACATTTAACCCTTTACCAGCCCACAGGGAGGAATTCAAAATGATAACTTTTTCAACTTAACTTTTTAAAGTGTTCCGGAAATACTGACACTTTTATATATATCTTAAATTAAAGCTAATGTAATATACTTTATTATGGAAAAAAAAAATTTTGCACTTTATTTTGTCTTCACGGTGAAAATGGCTACCGTATGCTATTTTTGTGTTAAAATTCTAGATTTTATATTTTACATTTTTAACTTTAAAATGTTATAACTCTTTGAAAAATGTATGGATCAATACATTTTTTTTATGAGAAATAATATTGATATACTTCTTTAATTCGACATATTTTTTTTTTAATCGGACCATTTCCCTTAATACAGGGGGGTTCAAGTCTTAAAAATACATATAGAAAGTAGAACTTTTCCAACTTAATTTTTGAAAGTGTTCCGGAAATACTGACACTTATATATATATATATATTATGGAAAAAAAAATTTCGGACTTTCTTTTGTTTTCATGGTGAAAACAGTCATCAAAGTTAAAAAAAAAAATACGATTTTTGTAAAAAAATTTCTTTTTATATCTATAACTTTTTGAAAAATGTATGGATCATTGTATTTTTTTTTTTTAAGATAAGTACTATTTATATTTATGTATTATTGTTATATATATATATTTATTCATATATTACACTTCTAAATCATATAACTTGTAATCAGAATATAAATATTGAAATAGGAGATCATGTATCTTTTGGAATAATCCATTAATTTTTTTAAATTAAACATTATCTACAGATTCGCATCGAAGCGTTTTTATGATAGTGATTTTAATCACTGTCAGATATCATCTATACTAAACCCAACTATACCACGACCCCACTGTGCTGAATTTTTTATCATATAGATGTTACCATTACTTAATTTTGTAACAAATATAAATATATTGATAACAAATTATATTTATCTCTTAACAACACCTCTATGACAATAAATGTTAGTTCAAACTAGGTCTTTGTATGTATAACATTAAAAATAGACTTTCATATGATTAAATTCAGTTTTGAGGTCTGACAATATATTAAGATCATACTTACTTCTGATTGACAAAACAAATGAATATGTAAAATACAACGTTTTTCAATTTACGTAATAACGTAATGAACAATACTTTAACTTGTATGCATTCTATTTACACGTGCGTCTCAATAATATACATTTATATGTATATTTAATCACGTGAATTGTTTCATGCGATCATGTTGTTGAACTGTATACATCACATCAAAACCTTAATATCTTTCTATCCATTTTTTAATATAAAAATTATTTAATAATAATCTAGTTTTTCGGTTAAAATTTTTTTATCATTAATAGTTACATAACGTGCAGTAAGTTTTTAGTGTAAATAAATAAAATTAATTATCCCTGTAATATAAGTATTTGTTAAATGAAGGACACTTTTTTTTGTTAATTATAATTTTTTATAAAAAAATTATGTTGTTATAAAACTATCAAAATACTAAAGTAATCTAATACCCCATTGCACTTATTTGTACGCCAAATTTATTATTAAATTAAACAAACAAAACAACGATTATCAAAAAATGTTATTTGCTTATTTTAATGTTGTTGTATTCTATTATTAGAATACTTGTTTTCATATCTGAATAAAAATTATAAATCATTTGTTGCCGATATTGATATCGGACAGCATTTTGCCCCAGTCTTAATTCTATTTCTTTTTTTTTCCAGCTTTTATTACACTCCAAGAATTTTTGCCGCTTTAGCCGTAACTATTATATATTACAATATAAAGAAAGGAATAAACCTAACCGACTAACTTATACATTTTTAAACAATCAACATTTCTAATAAAAATTTTAGAACGAGTATTCAAATTACATAGCATTTTAATATATTAAAGGAGTGTGCGTTATTAATATACATCAGTAAAGCTGCACCTACAAAATAATATTAAATTAACTATATATAATATATAAAGTTATCATCTTGTATATAATGTTATTATATACAGAGTTATTCTATAACTAGTCTTTTTCCTAATTAGATCATTATCTATTAAATAAACTACTTGACATTTGAAAAAGTAATTCCTTAAAAGGTATAATGGATGAATATAAAATATATTTCACGATTAATACATTGAAAAAAAACATTAAACTTAGACCATTAAAAAAAAATCATCAATATTATTCTTATTTTTCGATCGAGTGGTTCATAATAGGAAATCAACTAATTGTAAATTTACAAAAATGTTTAGTTGAGTTTAGTCAACCATAAGACTAGAATCATGATCACTACTAGATGGATTAGAGGTTAAAGATAAAGAAAGATTTTACTGTTAATTTTTTTTTTTATAAGTTTTTAATTAAATAAAACAAATTTATCTCAGATTAATATTTTTTCTATAGTTGGGTCTGTGACTAGGATGTTTTTGCACTGATAAATATTGTTTTGGACATTTTTAGGGACAACTATTTAAGTTTAAGTTATAAACCAAGTAGATAATATTAGTATCCTAATAAGAAATATTTTTTTTATTTAAATTTAAAAAGTACTTTTAAAAGTAATTAAAAAAAATAATTTTAAAATCTCTAAAACATTTTTGCATGATAGAGCAATATACATTATTTAATTTAAAACTAACCTTTAAAGTTTTCTTTTAAAACTGATGTTTTAAAACATTGAACAATGAATATAATAAAGCAAGAACATCAATGTCATAATCATACATAATATGTATATATTATATAATAATTTCTAACAGTTAAATGATTTAGATTTCCAATTTACAACATCTTTCTTATTATTTTATAAATTTTAACAGTGACACTAGTATTAAAATGTGGTAACAATCAATTGTATAACTAAATAATTATATAATATGGTTACAAATGAAATTTACAAGTAAAATGATGTAGTTAATGAAAAAAAATACAAGTGAATGTAAGGCCAATTATACTTTGTCTAACTTAATCTATATATTATAAAATTATAACATTATACATAAATCTGTTTTATTATTAATTTGTACTTGCATTTAAAATACTTATTACATTGAATGAAAATGGATTTAAGGGAAAAACGTATATTATCATTTATTTTGAAAGAGAAATAATTAAAAAAAAGAAATTCCATTAAAATATATAAAAACGAACAATGTAAAAGTAGGCCTATATTTTTTAAGTATTTTATTTTATTTTTAAAATGTTTATTTAACTAAAAATGTATGCTACAAAAAAGGGAATGTTAATATCAGTCAAATAATTACAATTTTATAGAAATTAAAATATATACAATCAATTATTAACTCATTAAGTTACATTGAATTAATTTTTATGCAAATTTTCTTTAAATTCTCTCAAAATTTAAATGATTTATGAGTCAAATAATAAATATTTAATTTCTTATTTTATTAATAAACCGGAGTATGAATTAAAGGACATTAAATTTAATCCACAAAATTATTTTTTTCACAACCTACTAGTTTTTGTGGTATTATATTTAACAGGTAAACAGATAATTTATAAAATCATTTCACTTAATGATACTAAGTATATAAATATATTAAGATATATTATATAAATATATTATGATCTAATCGAATGTCAACAAAATAGAGTATCATAAACTTCTTCATTTATATTTAAATACATATGATTTAGGACACAATATGCTAATTATATGATGCCACACCAATTCATTCTAATGTAAAAATGATATTTCACCAACATTATTATGTATTAATTCCTAATTGAATGAATAACAAAAAAATGAGATAATACAGTAATGTAATAAAATTGGATTAATAACTGGCTTCATGTCCAGCAAGAATGTATAAATCAGCACCATCATCATTTTTTTTTGATACCATGTGAGACTCCAATAATAAAATTCTTCAAAAAAAATATTTGAAAAATAAGCACTCAGTATGTTAGTTTAATTGTATAATTTAACATACTTATCTGATCCTAAAAGTTTGTAAGTTCTACTCTTATCAACAATCTCTTGAGTAACTTCACCATTTTTTAAACTTCGTCCTTGCACTCCATATTTATGAAATGCAAGTATACTATCAGACAAACGGACTGAAAAATGTTAATTTTACAGTATTTTGACTTAAATAATCAATTTAAACATTAAAATATAAATTATTATTAACCTATTGACTCAACATCAAAATCGAAGTAAAGTTGATTTATTTGATTTCTTTCTTGTTTTATATTTCCTTGCAAATTAATGATTTTTATAACATCTGTAACATAATTTTAAATTGTTTTTTTTTTTAATTTTTTTAAAAACTACATTAATATGTTAAAATAAATAACATACTTTTATAACATATAAGAAAAGAGTCAGTATCTAGTTGGCAAACACAAACTACGTCCATTATGTCTCTTCTTTGTATAACTGTTCCTGTAATGAAATTATACATTTAATATAAAAAATTATTAAAGATCAAAAAAAATTATATTAAACCTGTGTTATCTGAATCATACTGATCATCAGAACAAAACCAACTAGCACCAGTATTAACATTTATAAGTTCTAATTTTAAATTCATTGATTTTCTAACAGGCCCAATTGGCTTTTTAACACCAACACAGACTAATGGATATTCTAACTCAGGAGTAATAACCATTTCAAAAATATTTAAAGGTGATGGCAAAGAACATTCAAAATGCTAAAGATAATAAATATTAAAATAGCATGTTAATATAATAATTTTTTTCTTGAAAATTAAAAAAAAAAAATGCTTACTTTTAACAGCATAAATTTATTAAGAGGATCATACCATTGCATAATAAAAATGCCACTTGTCATGGCTCCACATAAATATTTGTACCCATTATATGGATTGCGTCCAACACAACACTTTATACAACCTTTTGTATCTGGTACTTTAGTGGTTAAAGCAAATCTCCTTGGTACTAAACGCTCAGGAAATTTTGTCATGTGCTGGGAAAATCTATGAGTTTGCTTCCCATGTAATGCTAAAAGATCATGTCTATACAATTGAGTTGTTTTCCCTGAACCAAACATAAAAAAATATTAATAACTCATCAATGATATAAAATTTAAGAACATATTTACCTGATAGTGACATGAGTATATCTTTAATGACATACAACCAAACAGTTCTTCGATTATATAATTGATCAATTGCAGTTTCGTGCAATTCATTTAAATTTAGGTTATATATGCCTTCTTCAGCTCCAATAAATACATGCTGATCTCTAGTTTCTGGATGTATCCAACTTGCAGTACAATATATTTTTAAAGGACAACCATTGAACACCTATCAATATAATCAAAAATAAATAAAATGTATACTAATAATTACATCAGAATATTAGTATATATTAATACTATCTTAATAAAATATTTTTCATAATCAATTTTATTATAATTCTTATTAATTTTTTAGCCCAGCCCTGGATAAAGTTAAAAACTTGAATATACAATAATATAAAAAGTTTTATAAGAGTAAACTGTATATAAATAAAAACTAAATAGTTACAGATTTAAAGCATTTTATAACTTAATAACCAAATAATATTTGGTAATATATTGTGATCCAATGTAATTTAATAATTTTAATAATAGTCTATATAGTCAAAATAGTAAATCGTGGTGGAATACTCTGTGTATATTGAGCCAATATATATTTAATTAGGCGATGGTGTTTCATTCAAACTTAGCTGACAATGCTTATTAACTTTTAATACAATTGTCATTTTATTGAATTTTTTTTTTTAATAATTTACGTGTTCTTAGACTATATTATAATAGATCTTATTATTTATCACAAGAAAAATAATTAAGATTAAACATTTTTACTTTTTTTAACATTTCAAAAAAACTCTTTTCTTACAAAAAGTTTTGATTGATAACAATTTTAGAACAAATATTTATGCGTTACAAACATTTCAATACATGTGTGAGTGGGTATGAAATGCAAGGAGAATGTACTTACACTAATATGAGCTGCACTTTCCATTTCTACATACTTACACTATGTGTCAAAATGATTGTAACTTATGAGTAATTGAGTACTTGTCCTAAAATTGTTTTTGACTATATTTTTTATATAAAATAGGTATTATTAAATGTAAAGAAAAAATGTTATTATTATTAAAAATAAATAATAAAAAACATGATTTTAACATAGTCTTAGAGTACATAAATTATTTCAATAAAAACATTTCACACAAAATGATAGCTATATCAAAAGTTAGAAGCATTATCAATTACGTCCGAGACACTGTATATGTCCAATATAAATATGGTTAAAATTATAATATATTGGATTTTAATAATATATTATCAATGAAAATATTTTCAAGAAATTTTAGGTTAATATATGAATTATATGAGAGAATTATGACAATAATTTTCAATAATAATTTTGACATACACAATAAAAAAAATTTATTTTAATATTTTGTGCACTCATAATAGTATGTGAATTATAATACATATACAAATACATGATTTTTATTGCATTAGTTAATACATATATTTATAACCATCTATAAATTATTTCTAACTGAAATATTTAAAAAAAATTTTATAGTTTCTGAAATGTCTTGAAATAGAGATTGGAATCATTGAGTTTTCATATACCGAACCTTTAAATATAAGTAGTTTTGGGTCTACAAGGGGTTGTCAAATATTTTTGAATAAAAGTTGCCACCAGTTATAAACCAGATAAACAATAGTTATTGCAAATATTAGTAATTTAAAATAGCCTAATATAGACTCAAGATACACTTGAGTTAGCCATTTAACAATTAAGCAGAGTGGACAATTTATCATTTCTCACTCATTTACTTATAAAATAAAAATATGAAAATGACTTAATAATAATTCAAAAATCAATAAATCATATTAATTTATCAACTTTTAAGTACTTTCTCTGTTAATATTTTATACCATATAGAGGTGTAAATTAAATTTATCTTTAATGAAAGCATTCTTATTTAACTAACTTATATAATAGAGAAATTTCAAAATGAAAAAATGACTGATCAAAAACAACTTTAACCCAGTATTTTGGAAGTTAATGATATTTTTATGGATAGGGGATAGGATAAATGTAGCCAAGAGATGTCCAACAATAAAAATAGTCACCTGAGCCTACTCATTGTCTATATTTTAAAATTGTAACAACTTCCAAAATGGGCGAAAAGTTATTATCTTTTTTAATTACATAATTCAAGAACAAAAATGTAAAAAAATTTGTTATCTAATTTTTGAACAGATTATTTAAATAAAATATACAAAAAGTACTATTTTTAAGAACCTTTTGAGAATCATCTTTTTGATGGGTTACAGTTCTGCATAAGTTACTTCAAAAAGATAAAATTAAGGTTCCAATTATGTTTTCAGTTCTCAATTTTTGGTTCTAGAATCAGTTCTTAAAGACTATTTTTCAGAGGGTTCCAACCCTAGTCTTAGAACAACCTTTCAAAAGCATGCAATATATTATTATGTATTAAATTGAAACATTATTGAAGCTTTAAAACAGATTTTAAATAAAAATGTATACATTATGGAAACTTAAATGAAAAAAAAATAATAATTATTAATTTTAAAGAACGTTTTAAGAGCTTTCAAAAACTTTATGCAAAAAAATTTCAGTAAGAAAAAAAATTATTGACTATAACCAAGTTATTGTTAATAATTTTTTCCCAGATATATTTTTGAAAAAAATGTATAAAAACATGTTTATATTATTAATATAATATTGTATCTAATAATAGTATAAAAAATATATAATTCTATTCTAAAAAATATACATATATTATGATTGTATCATTACTTTTATCCCAAATATGACCTATTGTTCTTTTTATAGTTTTGAAAAAAAAACAGTTATTGTAATTCATGTAATTTTAAAATATCCAAAATAATTAAAATATATAATTTTTATTCTTTTACATACACTCAAAATATGTAATATTATACTTAAGTTTTATTTCATAAATTCAACTAAAATTATTTAGTCATTTATAAATGATCAAATAATTGCATCTGTATATAGATGGATACAATTTAAACAAAATATTTGAGAAATCTAACTTATTGTCTATCCTCCTTAAAAATTTTATCAACTATATTTTTTTATGTGGCAATATATATATACTTAACTAGCTTATAAAATAACATTTTTTATGACATCGATATTAGCAGGTACACAGCATTGTTATTATCAATGATAGTAAGGTACATTGTTGTGAGTTTATAAATACACTAACTGACAATACAAAAAGTATATCTATTGATAGTCATAATTGATAATAAACAATCCGTGACTGTGATAGCAATATCATAAAAAACCAATTAGCTACCTGTATTTGTAATCCCTTGTGTATTATACCTATATATTAACTCAAAAATTTGAAACTTTAAATGTTTATATCTAATAAACAAATTAAGTTTCATTAAAAATTCAAATGCCATTTACTATTGAATTAAAAACTCAAACATTTTATTAAATTAAAAATATGTTACCATTTAAAAAAATAAAGTTAACTTTTTACCATCATCTTGACCATTACTCATTGTCTTATATAAATTACCTTATTAAATTACCACCACATAAATAGTGTGTGTATGTTTCCGTCAGCTCCCTGTTGGATTATATCATCTCTAGGTGTCTAGCAGGTTGTAATATTTATTTAATATCTCTTTACTTAATAAATATTTATATTGTTGTTAACTAAGAGTATTATATAAATACTGTAGTGCGACCCTTGGTTGTTCCTTTAATGGAATATAAATTAAATAGGAAAGCCTAGCCAGATACCTCCTGTTGGTCCCTTAGAATACTGTTGATGGACATTTAGGCTCAACCCCTAAATAGCGACACAACATTAATTAAATATTTTCGATGAAGCATCACTGATGTAAAATTATAATATCTAAACAATATTTTTTATTTTAAAACATTATAGTGTTTCCTTTAGATTTTAGCTTTTGGCCAACTCCAAGTAGTTGGGATAAGGCGGAGAAAAAGAAAGATTGTATTTCCTTTAGCTGAAGCTCAGTCAGTAGAACACAAGACTATTAATCTCAGAGTTTTGTGTTCAAGCATTATGTTGGCCGCTAGTTGACACCCGGAATTGATGGCTGACTATTAAAAGTGTATCAGAAATGATATGAAAAAAAGAGGCACATTACAAGATTATGTTGGTGCTGATCACCAAAAAGGATTTTTTTAACATAATTATAATTTTAAGAAAAATTGAATGACTAATGTTAAAAGAATCATCCTGTTATATTGAAAACTGTTATAATAAAATATTGCTAGAGTGAGCAAAATGATAAGTCCCAGAATAAACCCATATAATTCTATGTTGGAATATATGTTAATAACAAGAATGATATATCAGCTGCAACGACAATACACAAAATACAGAATAGTACTACAGATTACAATGAACTAATCATTAAACTAAGGTTGTTAATTCATCATACACTACCAATACACAAATAGAAACTAATAAAAGATGTCAAAAATATCTCCATTTTTTTTTAATAAAATTTTACTCTTATGATATTAATATGTGTAAAAAACAGAGATTGACCACTTAAGCTATTGTATTAAAAAATTCTTTAATAATTAAAATTATTGGATTTATCAAATAAATAAATTTGTCCAAAATATGAGTAGTGAGATTTTGTCATGTAATCAATGATATTGGCTGCTGTTTGTTAGAGCATTATGTGTTACACTGATAACAAACCCATTAAATTTAATCTGTTCTTTCTGAGAGTACTATTTTACTCTAAGAGAAAAAAACAATTCAAATTTTAACCGAACATGATTTTTAAAAGTGGCATTCTTTATTAATTATTTAATATACTATAACATTACCTTAGAAAAGCATGCACCCATATGAACTTTAGGTGTAGGCGGCAAACCATTACTGATGGGTTTTGGAGGAGACGTACGACGTTTACGGTCCCTACGACGAGGAGGAACAGGAGGAGTATCAGCTAACAAATCAGGTTCAGGACCTTCTCCTATTAAAAATTTAATTTAAAGATAAAATATTCTCAGCATTAAAAAAAAAAAAAAAAAAAATACCTCCACTATCACTAAAAGACCTTTGACGTCCATTTATAGAAATACTTGAAGTAGCAAGTGCTAAGATTTCATCAAGAGAATTGTGTCGTCTAGGAGAAGAAGGACTATCTAAAAAAATGCATAGTATATAAATTATAATATAATTTTAAAAATATTTTAAGTTTTTATTAATTCAGAAATCAATGTACTCTTTAAGTTTTGATATACACAGCCTTTGTTGATTATGGGGTTATTTTGACTAGATGAAAGAGGCATACAACGTTTTTCAGGCATTGGTAATGTAGATCTAAAAATTAAATTAAATTTGATTTTAACCATAAAAAAATAAGTTGGTTATATTTCACTACAAAGAAAAAATAAATTATATAATTAGTTCAATAAAAATACTCACACATCTTCATAACTTCTATTCCTATCTTCATAAAAAACACAATTATATTCTCCTCTTAAAAAATTAAATAATATTTGTCTAATTAGTTTGTTCAAAAAAATATTAGTATTAAAAATAATTAAGGGCCAGCTGTACAATAAATTTTTATATTTAGCTTTATTGACTACACCACAAATTACAAAAAATATGTATAAACATAATTGCAATATAAACCCAATTAAAACAAAAACATGCCATTTTTCTTTAATCACCATTAAAATTTTAATTAATTAATAATATCTATTAAAAAAAATTATGGGTCAGTAAAACATTTCTAATGTTCATAATAAAATTATGAACACAGTCATATATATCCATTAGTCAATTAATATTAGTATTCATTCAATTTTTTGAAAGCATAAGATTAGTGCATTAAGTAAATGATAGCTGAATTCCACAAAATGTGCTTCTTAATATTATTTTTATATTTGCTATGTATTTTAAAATAAATTGTGTAGTCTGCAATTCAAAAAATTTAATGTTTTTTTAAACAGTGCGAGATTGACAAAATTGTCTATCATACCTCAGTTTAAGTTCTTCATCAATGTTTTGCAGAAGACTCCTGTAGAAATGAACAAATATCCAATGAAAAATTTTTTAGCTGGTTTAATAGAAATATTCTATATAAGATTGTACAACAGGCCCTAATAGATAAGCTCCAAGTTTTTTCCCATTATAAATAAAAAATGTTCAAAAAAGTATCTCAGAAATTTCTATAATAATTACCAAACAGCTACATAATTAACTACTGTACATTAATATTAGTGATGTTTCTAACTCTAATATTTAGGATCAAACCAAACCTTAACTGAACTTTCAATTTTAAAATCAAACTCAAACTAAACTTTTAATTTTTCAGTCAAACCTGAACAATATCGAACATAATTTTTAAACATTTTCATGATAAATATTTATACTGGTTCGGTTTTCAAACAGTTTACAAAGAAAAATATGGTTCAAATTTTTATATTTGAGATCAATTTTTGAATCAAGTTCAACACCTCAAGTTCCTTTTGGTTTTGTTTAAACATTACTGATTAATATAAATATACATATGTAGTTACTGAATACAAACATTTAAAGAAAAAGACAGTAATAAAAGAAAGAAAAGAAATCTTATAACTTTCATGCAATAATATTTCAAAAAAACTTAGATACTTGTAAGATGAATAAATAAAATTAATGTATTTTTACACTTGAATGAAAATAATGTAACACTTTATTTATACAGAAGTGAAAATAAAATAAATTATTAAAAGGAATTTCAGTTTCAGTCGTAAATTTAATCAATTTAAAAATTAAGAAAACATCAAAACAATCAAGTATAGCAAAGATTGTAGCTCCTCCTATTCTTTATTTAAAATGAATAAATATTAAATCAATACCCGGTATTTTGTAACAAATTCAGATACCATTGATAACTTTTTTTAAGTTTAATTAGTGAATACTAGTATTTTAATATAACATGGCCGCCGGGAATAGATAGAAAGTATACCGGAAATCGTGTGAAATAAAAAATAGTATGGGATTAGATCCCGCAACTCGAGGCGTTGTAGAGACAAACCTTATACTTATGATTCAGATCCCGATAAACTTTCATTTAGGTGGATAAAGTGATGTGCAGCTGAGAGAAACGTGGTGCTGTATCAATTGTTAAAATTTAGCCATAAGCAACTAATTATAAAAATGGCATAAAAAAAAAAAAAAAATGAATATACACGTAATTATCAGGTGAGGGTTTTAAAGAATTTATCTCTTAAAATATATGTACTGTTAAAAAATAATTTTTAATGAAGATATATATAAATTAAACTTAGAAACAAGAATAGGGAAAATAAATTTTATTTAGTAGATTTATGTAAACTAGATGGTAAGACTAGAAAGCTTAATTATAAATAATAGATGACAAAATGAGTGCTACTAAAGAGATCAAAGCAATATATACATGATGTGATATAAGTATATCATGATTAATTTTTATATTCCCACTAAAATACTATAACAGAATAAATTTAGGTGTTTATTTAGTGAATAACTAATTTTATGCATAATAACAAAAAAAAAACAGCTTACTTTTCAGTCGAAGTACAGTCTAATCCTCCAGAATTATCACAGTCATTATTTCGCTAAAAGATATTATGTAGTTTATACTTCTTTATATTTTTTAAGTATTAAGCCAAATCAATATTATTATAATGTTAAAAGGTACAAATATCCAAACAAAAAAAGTATAAAATAATAAACACTTACTAAAACACTTTTCTTGTTATTTTCTAAATTTCTTGTGTCTAAAATTGTAGCAGAATCATTCTTGTTTCTATGTGACATATTTGAAAAATTATCAGAAATATCTAGAAAAAATATCAAGATTATTTTGTTAATAAAGTCTTAAAAAAATAAACATAAACAATAATAACAACAAAATATTGACAAAGTAAAATAAGAATATAAGAGTCTAGTAACAAAAGTTAATCTAAAGATAACTGTTTTGATAACCTAATAAACAAAAAAATACCTCTATGATCAACAGTCACTCTTGATGCGATACGGCGAGGAACATTGGATATTATCTAAATTATAACAAAAAAATGATTGAAATAATTTACAATAATAAAACACTGATAGTTTCAAAATATTTACATCATCATCAGGATCTATATCTATAAAAGATTGTACTTGTGGATTATTTGCTTTTTGTAAAAGATCTATTGCTAGTCTTTTATTCATCTCTTGACAAAAAAAAGAGTGCTGTAATATAATTTAAATAGTATTTATTAAGAAAAAATCAAGACAGGATATCAATATTGTTTTACCATTAATAGTTTATCAGCTGTTGGCCTTTTTTTGGGATTTTTTGTTAATGCTACTTTAATGAAATTGTGGAATGTAGGACTCCTAAAATTGAACAAATAACAATTTAACTATTAAAAATTTTATAAATACATTTTACAAACATACCATTTGTCCCTTTCTTTCAAAGTTGGAGGCTTAAAACCACTTTTGGACATAAGAAATAAAGCTCTCATAGGATGTAAATCAAACATAGGAGGCTGTAACTCGGCCAATTCAATTGAAGTGATACCCACAGCCCAAATATCACATAACTGATTATAACCTCCTTTTCTTTCTACAGCTGCCACCTTTAGGAAGAGTGATATTATATTATATTATTATATATTACATTATTTTCGAAATATAATATAATTTTTATGTAAAGATAAAAATGAATACACAATTACCTCTGGAGCCATCCAGTATGGTGTTCCAATAAATGATTTTCGTTTATTAATAGTAGCAGTAATTTGTGCAGACACCCCAAAATCAGCTAATTTTACATCACCACTTTCTGTTAGTAATATATTGGCACCCTACATACAAATTATAAATTAAAAAAAAAGTACACACAGGTCAAAAATTTTAGAAAGTAGAATAATTTATTAAAATATTTTAAACAAAATATATATACTTTAATATCTCTATGCATTTTGCCCATAGTATGTAAATAAGCCAAGCCCTTAAGGGTTTCTCTGCACATGTAGGCTATTTGCAATTCATTTAATGGTCCAGTTACTTAAAAATCAACACACATATAAGTATACAGAAAGTCAATGATCAAAATATTGAATAATAATTCATACTAAAACTAAATTTTAATTAGTTATTTATTCAAAAATAAACAAAAGTACATTTATATAAATACTGAAAATTGTATGTTATTTACAACATAAAATTATTTTAACTAACTCACTGTGGTATATATCTTGCAATGATCCTCCAGAACAATATTCCATACAAATCCACAATTTATCCCTACGTAAATAGCTACCATAATACTCAATGATATTTGGATGATGACAATCTTGCATCATCAATATTTCTTGTTGTATAATAACAAAATCATCACCTAAAATTTGTGAAATTGTCAATTGCTAATCAATAAATTAAAATTAATCTTATCTTACCTGCTTCTAATTTTATAACTTTTATAGCTGCTAAACTTGACGTTGAAAGTCTTTTGGCCTAAAAATTTGGATAGGTCTTATTATTTCAAACCACTATTTAAAAACTACATTAAATTTTAATCTTTTAAATATAATATATACTTAATACTTATACATTTGTTCACAATCCATCACATTTTAAATTATATCTTATGAAAATTGTAAATACAGTTGTAATTTTTTATTTTTAGTTATTATGTTTAAAATATTATAATTGACATTTTTAACAAAAAAGTAATTAAAATACCTACAAATTGGTTAAAAGTAGCAACATTTTTATTTGGAAATCTATTTTAATAATTTAGAATATTGGATAATTTTGCTAACTGAATATATAGTTTTTACTAGTGGATGTTTATAAATGCATGATAATAATATAACAGTTTAAGTTTGGAATTGATAATATGCAATATACATATTGATGAAGAAATAGCTCATAAAAACATACGTCTGGAATGTGGTATTATACGGAAGTGAAACCTGGACAATTAATAAGAAAGAAAAAGATATGTTAGAAGCTCTGAAGATGTGGTGTTGGGGAAAGATGTAGAGAATAAGCTGGACTGATAAAAGATCAAATGAAGACATCCTGAGGACAATAGATGAAAAACGAACACTGATTGATATTATAAAGAGAAGGAGATAGCAGATGATAGGACACACGTTGAGACATGAAGATGAATTACATAGTTTAATAATTGAAGGAATGATAGAGGGTACAAGATCAGGGGGAAGACCTAGGACGAGGTACATTAGTCAAATAATGCAGGATGCAGGAGTTACTTCCTACAGGGAGCTTAAGATTATGGCGAATGATAGAGAAAAATGGAGAAGCCATTGTAAATTTATTGTAAAACATTTGTTAAAAACCAATCTTCGGATTGAAAAACAAAAAAAATATATATATAAATATAAAATTGACATTAACCCAATATAAATTTTTCAAATTACAATTGTCATTTTGTTATTAGTTATTAATAACTAATTTAAACCATTAAATAATAATGATTATAGTTTTTCCATATAATAATAATTTAACTTATTTCATCAACAACAAAAATACATATAAGACATACAGAATGATCTATTTATCATAAACTACATAATAACTTGCCACAAAATTGCAATATTGTAAAAAAAAATTTGGTTTTTTAAAATTACATTTATTTATTATTTATCAATTATTAATTATTTTTTAGCATTATTTCTTATAGCTTATAGGGGTAATAATTTTATTTTTTATGACAACATACATATTTAATTGACTTAGAAAATAGAAAATGATTTCATTAAGAAAATGACAGGTCAATAACAACTTTTAGACCTGTACTTCGGAAGTTATAAAACATTCCTATACCTGGATTGAAGAAAAAGTATAGTTGAGAAATATCTAATGATAAAATAGTCATACCCGAGTCTTACCTCCACTCTATATTTTAAAATTGTAGTAACATCTGAGATAATGGGCCAAAAGTTGTAATTAACCAACCATCTTCTATTTTATAAACTAGTTAAATATGTATGTTGTCATTAAAAAAACTAAAGTTAACATCCCTATAAGCTATAAGGGATGATGCTAAAATGTATTTAAGTGAGTTATAATAATTGGATCACTTCATAAATAAATAAAATAAATATATAACATAGTTTACTCACAAAGTCCTATGGCTGAGATGTAAATAAAAGTCCAAAATAATGTATCCTCTACTAAATTTAATACACTACACGATAATAACAACTATCATATTAATACTAGCATATTTTAAAATAATTTCAACAAATTCTTCAAATTCTTTTACCGGATTTAAACATGTTTAAAATAGTTTGTAGTAATTTCCAAATAACAAAAAATAAATAATGAATTAAACTTATTAAACTCTATTCTTACTTAAAACATAATGATTTTACTCAAAAAAATTATATCTAGTATTATATTTGACCGTTTTTGTTAATTCACTACCACTTGTTTTTTCCGATTTTTTTTTTTTAGATTATTATATATTATATTATTTTATTCTGGGGGTATGAAGTGTGCAATATGTTGTAGCATTGTTTCAAATAAATTATTAGAACCGTAACGCTTACACCACATGTACTCGACCAAATAGCCATTCAACATTGGTCGGTAGGTACTCTACTGTTTTTTATTTCGAGATTCTATTTTGCCCCAAGAACTCTCAATAGTATTAGTGTGAGCCAGAGTATTAGGATCTACAAAATTAATAGAATAATTCACGGTCATGTGTTGATAAGTTAGATCTAGCCTTTGGTAGGAGCGCTATTCATCAACAAGTGGTAGTGAATTAACAGTCCTTATATTTATATAGACAATAATTAATTAATTTTTTTAAGTTAAGCAAAAAAAGACATAACTTTATATTGTAAAGTGTATCGAATATTATAATTATTATAAATATTATTATTGGAGCACAGAAAAAACTTGATAAAAATGTTTATTTATTTAATTTGTTGTAATTTTTAATTTATTTTAAATAATGTTATTATTATCATCTAAAAAAGGTAGTACCATGACTACTTATGAATTGAACCAAGGTCAAATAAATAAAAATTCTTAATATAGCTAAAAACAATTTTCTAAAACAACAAAAAACAAAAAAAAAAAAAATTTGTACAGAATTTTTTATTATTAATGATCAATACGAATGTTACACTTTAATCTATCAATATAAATACCAAAATGCTTGACAACCATTAAGTTTATTTAATACAAGTCCCACCAACTGATTTAAAATGGAGTTTTAATATAAAACTATTTTGTACTTGATTGTATTGAAATTTAAATCATTTATACTAATTTGCAAGTAAAAATTTTTATTTTAATTTATTTTTAAATAATAATTGTCAAACCGCTGTTTAACTACAGAAAGATTAGAATTTGCTATATAAAATTTATACTACTTAAGTTATTAAATAACTTAATAAATATCATGTCCATAAATACCTTCTAAATGCTCTAAATAATAACTTGACTTATTTTATTAAGCTTAATTTTCAGATCCAATACCTTATAAACATCACCGTATGTGCCACTACCAATTCTTTGGATCAACTCATATTCTTCTTGGGGATTTCTTGTGCTTATTTCAGAAGTCATGGTTAATCAATAGGTTAAATTTTAGGTAAAAAAATCAAGGAAACGCACATTAAACTACAATTAGGTAAACAGAAAGAGGCACAGATTAATTATCTTGGATACAAATTAAATTAAAACACATAATGAAAACGACAAATTTTCGTAGTATCATTATATGAAATATATGTAACTACAAAATAAAACTTCAAATAGTATTCAGTTAGACATTAAATTCAATATTACTAAAATAACGATTAACACATTTTTGTGCTTTAAATAATTAAAATTGAATAAGCAAAAATCTTATATGTTTACAGGTTCTGATTAGTGACTGTTATCATGTTATCACGGTGAATGAATAAAACAGAAGACTCACTAGTACATGCTTAATTATGTCATGTCTCAAGTACCGTTTAATGGATCTTTATGAATAAATACATCTGAAGTTTTTTTGTTTTATCAAGATAATAAAAACTTCAACCATGATTCGATTATATTCTGTGTTTTACAAGGTCTTATTAAGTCTGTTGTTACTTTTACAATTTATTAATAATACTTTATATAAGCTTTAAACAAAAACAACACATAATATTGGCGTATGTCAAAGTACAGAAATCTTTATTGTAAGATGAAATATTTTGAGACAATTTTAATTAACAAATATATGCAGCTTTGTTTGTTAACTGCTAACATCCAAATAAACACTAATTTTAACCATCAATTAAACGTTACTTATTAGTCGTATTGACAACAAAAGAAGTTAAAGATTTGAAAAAAAGATTAAGAGTTGAGAAAATATATCTATGAATTTTACACTAACTTGCTTTTTATGCATTATTAAATTTCAAATCCCTGATCGAATACTCTAAAATGTTTTTTCATAACTAATATTCATCAGAGTATCTAAGAACTTATTCAGATACACAACTCAATATTTTTTTCTACTAATCGCTTCACAATTAAAATAAAATTATTCTAATCTCTAAATGAGATAAAAATCAAATGAGTTGAAAATTTATCCTAACTTAAAAAGAATTAAGAAAAAAATGCAAAAAATTCTTTGCCATACATGGGTTGGAACCTTGTACCCCAAGCGCGTACCCATTCCGTACCCTGAAAAAATGGCAATTTAAGGTAGTTCGAATTTCAAACTAATTTTTCTTTACTTAAAAAAAGCAAAAAAATTTAAATAAGTTTAACTTTCTGTGCTATATCAATATTATTTATATAATATTTATGAAAATCAGTGTACTCCCCTTGTCAGGTATATTAAAATAATATAAAATACAAAACTCAGAATTTTAACACAAAAATAGCATATTTTTAAATACGGTAGTCATTTTCACCATGAAGACAAATCCAGAGGTCAATTTTTTTTTTCAAATTAAAGAATATTACATAAACTTTAATTTAAAGTATGTATAAAAGTGTCAGTGTTTCCAGAACATTTTCAAAAGTTAAGTTGAAAAAGTTAAGTTGAAAAAGTTAATTTTTTGTGAATAAGTTACCATTTTGAAACCCTTCCTGTAGGCTGGTAAAGGGTCAAATGTTCACAAAAATATATCAAATGATAGGTAAATACCTAAGATATCTATAAAAAAAAGTTATGGCAGTTTTAAGTAAAAGAAAATTCGAAAATTAGCGATTTATAAATTTGTAATTTTTTGGGGGATTTCCCACGTTTACGGGAACGAGGAAATTCTTTTCAATTTTTGAGGGTAATTTCTTCAACTAGATACGATTTGTGATCTTTTGACGTATTTTTCATCAAAATCGTTTCAGCGAGAGCTGAGATTGAGCGTTTATAGACACAAAAAAAAAAATTAAAAAATAACATGAAAGTAAAATTAATACCTTCTCAGCTTCACATCGAAGCTAAAATATAACAGTTAATAACAGAAAACCAATAATATTTACACGTTATTTAACGAAATAAATTTAAGTGCTAGTTATAAAGTTAGTACTATCAATCAAATTTTTGTTTAAACCAACTACAATATTTATATTTAACGTTATATCAATTTTTAATGAACGCTATATAAACTATTTTTAGAATAATCATCGAATAAACACGGTTTATTAAATGTTTATTTTGGTTTAATACATCATAGTGTACACTAGATAGCCTCACGTGGCTATTTTTTTAGTTTTATTAGTTAATTATTTATTATTTTAAGTAATTGGTCAACGAGACTACTAATGAAATATTAAAAATATTATTATATAAATAATATAATATTATAATTATCATCATTGCGAACTAAGATATACTAAAATAAATTTAAAAGAGGGTCCAGTTCAATTAGGGCCATATTTAGGAGGTGGTTCGTAGGGGCGAATCTTAATATTAATGAGTAAAACCTACAAATATTGTAAACATATAGTCAAACAAAAATATTTTTTTCTAATATTTTTAGAAGTAGAAAAATAGTACTGGAAAATCTACCAGAAAATATAAAGAGTTGAATTTCAAAAAAAAAATAGAGATAACCAGTTATACAAGGTGATCGAAATCTGGTAAGACACTTATTTTCTCAGAAACTATTGAGATTTTTAAATTTTTTTAAAGAGAAAAAATATCAAGTTCAAAAATCTCTACATAACTATGTAGTCAAATCATTATATTTTTCGTCCTTTCAGGGATAATAACCCTTATTTATAATTTTCTTAAATGGGAACCCTTATTTTTAATTTTATAATATGATAGAAAAAAAAAATTACAAACAACTTATATATACTTATATATTTGCAAGTCTTACACACCCATAGACTTTGCTATTAATAACTAGTGATGGGAAATATCGAATAGAAACTATTCGATAGTCATTCAAAAAATATTCAAATAGTAAAAATATTCGATAGTCATTCAAAAAATTTTCGAATAGTAAAAATATTCGATAGTTACACAATATATTCGAATAGTTTTTAAAACTATTCGATAGTTTATGCTAAAAATAAACTATTCGGTTGTATAAACACAATTTTAATAGTTATACGATAGTTTAAAATATTTGAAAATGCCCATCACTAATTTTTACTACTATTAATTGTATAATAATTTATTTATAAGTATTCATTAATTATCTTCTTATTATAATTAAGTATACTTAATACAAATTTTAGGTAAAACTAATCGAATATTTTTTAAAACCATTTGGTAGCCCATTCGAATAGTTTATGCCAAAAATAAACTATTCGATAGTTTATGCTAAAAATAAACTGTTCGGTTGTATAAAAACTATTCGAATAGTTATTCGATAGTTTAAAATATTCGAAAATGCCCATCACTATTAATAACACACCGAAAACCCGATTTGAATCTATTATTGTTATCACTCATTTAGTGCGCCGTAGGTTATTATATATAATTTATCTGTCATAACTTAATCAATAAAATTTGGTTTATGCAACAGCAAACAAAAATAATAACTTCTGTATTTAATACATCAAAATAACAATTTAAAACTTGGCCTAAAATCACTAAACTTTAACCAACTGTAACGGACGAACGGTTAATCGAAAAAAAAAATTGTTTTAACTAAGTTGTAAGTAATTTTTTTTTCTATCATATTATAAAATTAAAAATAACGGTTCCCATTTAAGAAAATTATAAATAAGGGTTATTATCCCTGAAAGGACGAAAAAAATAATGATTTGACTACATAGTTATGTATAGATTTTTGAACATTTTATATTTTCTTTTTAAAAATTTTTAAATTCTCAATAGTTTCTGAGAAAATGTCTTACCAGATTTCGATCACTTGATCACTGGACTCTTCAATTATCTTGAAAAATATACAACTCAATTATACTTTACAATTAAATTAACGATAACTTTTGACAAAAATAATTTTTCAAAGCTAAAGCTATGCAGTAGGGTTGGTCTATTAAGTCTTTCCATGATTATCAATTATTTATTTTTTGTTGACACTGTAGATCTTATAAACATGGATAGGATAATCATGATTGAGGCACTTGTGTTTTCGTGTCCTAAACTGATATGAATATAAGGCTGTTTGTTTACATTTTAATTGTAATAAGCACATAAGATACTGTTTTTTAATTTTGTAATAAGGTACAAATTATAACTTATAACTTTTACATTATTATAAATTACATAACTCATACTAATTATTTATTACTAACCATTAAATAATAAAAAGTAATTTCTTATCATGTAATCATTTACTATCACCATAGTCTTCATTGATCAAATCTGTACGCATCAATGTCCTATCCATGTTTACAAGATCTATGGTTAACACAAGGACTTTTATCATTACATTATTCATTACTGATTACAAATATCACGTATTTGTAAATTGTTCTCCCGCCTAAAACAAAGTAAAAAGTAAAGATGAAAATTTGAAATACCTTAAAAACTTGATCATTTAATTAATAACTTAATCTATTTTGGAATTTAAATATTACTAGAAATGGAAAAATCAATTCGGTAATAAAGGAATATCTATTACTACTCATCAGTTAAACTTTTTAGTCTTATTGACATATCTAGAAAGAAGGCATAATCAACATTTAATTAAAACCTATTAATTTTACTTTTACTTTCACCAATTAAAAAAATAGTTTTAAAATACATTAATTTTTTTAATCTAACAAAAAAGCTAATTTTAGTGAAATAAACATATATTTATTTATTTATTGTTGATGTCTGATGAACTAATTTGAAAATATATTCACCAAAACTTTTTTAAATGTAATTGTTTTGAAAATCAAACAAGTATATTGTATAAAATTTGTTGTAGAACAATATAAAATTTTTTTTTTCTAGAAGTAATCAAAATTAATGTTCTATTTGAGTTCAATAAAAAAATGTAGATTATTGAGTCTGATCATAAAATTATAAGTTCGGTTCAGATTTGATTCAATCTCAAAAAACAGTGTCTGTAACATCACTTCTATTTATTTATAATATGTTTATGTATATCATATTACATCACTCACTATTCTAACATTTTTATTGTGTATTTAAATTTTACATCTATTTTATCATATTTATTATATATCATCTAAATTTATAATTAATTCATATAATTAATCTAAATATATAATTTATTAAAAAAATTACCATTTTATTTAGTTTTGATAATATCTACTTATCGATAAATAATAATAAAATGTGACTTCATTTTTTTAATTTTTAGGTTTTCACATGTTACAAAAACTATAGATCTCATGTATTGCTTGAAACATTATTTGCTCCAAGATTCAGTAAATAATGTTGAAATTGTACTAAGTGTTGCACAAAATACTAAAGTTTCTAAATGTTTGGACTTTATAGTCGCATTAGGATTTATACCATGTTTTGTTCCTGCAGTTTGGGTACCTTTTAAATATAAACAGAAAATTAATTTAAGAAACATAGATAATATTTCGCTTAATAAGGTAATTTTTAAGGATTAAATTTTTTTAATATATCTTAGATCAATAACATAATTTTTTTTTAGAAATATGAGGAATTAAAGTTTTGTATGAACTCATTTTTGGGTTTATTAAATGAACCAACATTTAATAGACTTATTTTGGCAAATCATACTGCTGTTATTATATCAGGACTATGCCAATTGAGCTTATTGCCTATTGCCAAACCGGGTAGTAAAATTGCGATAGAAAGTTCAATTGATGATCTGAATTATAAAAATCTATTAGAAGATCAGAAATATTATAAATTGATATTAAGAAAAATTATTATACATGATCAAAATCCATTGATTATAAAGGAAATAATATTTTTAATAGGGCGCAAGGTCAGATTAAATTAAAAATCTGTGGAATTAAAGTTTTTTATTAATATAATGTTATTATTTAGAATTGTTTAAAACCTATAAGAATTGGACTTTGTGAAATACTTTCTAACTTGTTAATTCAGACAAATGGAATTCAAACTTTATTTGGTATTGTTTGTGATTTAATTTCTACTGAAACTTCACATAACATGTTTCAGCATGGACTTCATGAATGGTGTCATTTGATTCATAACTATTATGCAAATTCTAAATCAAAATATGTAACTCACATTATTCCTCAAGTAAATTTTGTCAAATATTTTAATTTCTTTCAAATTTTATCCATTAATTAAATAATGATTCTAAATAAATAATGAATAAATATACATAAATTGGCTTTTTATCATCCAAAAGTTAAAAAATACTTTTTATTTTTTATATAAATTATTTATATTTTTTCGATAAATTTTATGAATAAGTATCAAGAGATTATTAAATACAAATCACAAAATTAGTTATTAAATTTAATATTATTAAATTAAATTAAATAAAGTTGTTATGTTGATAAATTGATTAGTTTGCTTAAAATAATGATTTTGTTTACTTTTTTAACATCTAAAATGGTAATACCAAATATTAATCTTTGACCACCATCATTCAAAAATTTTAAGCACTAGATAATTAAGAGCTACAATAAAAATTCTTACATTTTATACAACAATATTAATAAATTTCAATAAATAAAATGAACTTCAATAGTAATTAAAAAAGTAGATGGACTTAGTTTAAAATGTAAACTATTATTTTAATCTCTGTTTTGTTTCAATTTTAAAAATGGTATTGATAATATATTTTAGATTTGGCAATTATTAGAAAGCAACAGTAAATATCATGAAAAACATTTTCAAAGTATTGCTGTCTATTGTATGCATCTAATAGCTGAAGAAAATAAGAAAGACTTTTTAACATTTTATTTGAATCCAATGATAAATGAACTAAAAAATCAAGAAATTAAAAAAAAGTCATTATCTCAGTGTATTAAAAACTTGCATGTTAGTTTCTTTTTATTTAAAGATGAAATGTGGGCATTAAACCCTAAAACATTGATCCACATAGCTGGAACTATTTACAAAGTTTATTTATCAACTGTAAATGGTATTTATTATCAAAAATTGCTTCTAGAGGATTTAGTATTTTTAATTTTAGTTCATTTTTCCAATGATCGAGATGTACTAAAAATGATACTATTTACTCAATATCACGTTAATGTTACCTATGATGATAACAAAGGAGATATAATAATAAATCATGAAATTAGAGAGCATCAGCTATATTTAGAAAATGAAATAGAAATACTATTAAATTTGTTAGAAAGAAAAAATGATGCAAATCTAACGAAAACCTTATTTACAACATTCTTAGATATGTATACTGATTCAATATCAAATGAATATTCTATAATGGAAAAACTTGTAATTGTTAAAATGGTTCATCATTTCATAGAAAAAGACAATGTGCAAAAAACTGTTTCTAAAGATCCTAAAAATGTCCTTAACTTAATCAGATCTCTTCTTAAAAGTTGTGCTAATAATGAAACTTTTGACATTCAGATTCTCTCCATCACATTAATGATACTCAACAGTATACTGGAGAATAAAAATACTAATATTATTTGTACTTTACATGATTGTATTAAGTATTTAGAAAAAATTTCGAAATTTGTAGAAGATGAATTAATGAAAAACATGGTATTTGAAATCATACAAAAAGTTCAAAATTCTTATCCTGATTCATCTTTAAAAGATAAACGTTCTATTGATAATATATTATTTGATACACAAGATCGATTATTGCCATGTAGAGCACATGCACTAATAGAATTAAAAAAGTGCATTGAATCTGGTGATTTGTCAGTAAAAACTAAAAAATCAACTATTTTAGTAGTTTTAAAAGTATGTATTACTGTTATTTTTAAACTACATAATGGTTTATGACCATATTTCCAACTGTCATTTTTCCATATACCCTAAATTCTACAAAATAATTATTTAACATTCTTTGTAAATTTTGTTTTCAGAGAAATAAAAAACCATAAAAAAGGCTGTTAAGTAGATTTCTTAAATAGTTCAGTTCTATGTTATCTTCAGCATATTATTTGACACAATTTGTTAATGCTTTGCAACCATGTTTGAATGTTTAAAACATGCAATTTCAGTTGAGAAGTAGTTTTCACCCTCTTTCTGATGCTTAATTCAGTTATTATGGTTTCTGAAAGGATTTGCTTTTCTTGGAATTCTAACAGTACTGAGTATAAATCTGAATGTGCTATTCCCACAATAATGTTAAAATGGTTATGCTAGCCTTTACTTAAATTATTGATTTTCTTTTCTTCATTTACTGTAGTATCATACTATTTCCAAAAAATCAGAAAATTTGTTTTTTGGAAAAACAAATTCAAAAAAATGACTGTTAGAAAAGTGTATCTCAATTTTGTATAGTTAATAAAATTATATGTTTCATACATCTATATATTCTTTTTGTGTAGCTATATGTCAGTGAATAAAAATTAATTAATTGTTTCTATACCAGTTTATTAGTATATTTATTTTATTTCAGGAAAATTTGAAAAACACTGATTCCTATTTATATCTTAATGCTATTTTTACTTTATCATCATTATGTGCATATTTCCCCAATGAAATTTTACCAATACTTTGTGAAGAATATAGTACACCAGATAATTATAACCATTCTGCAGAAACTCGTTTAAAAATTGGTGAAGTTTTGATGAAAACTGTTAAAACACTTAGTATGGTATAAGCAATAAAAATTTATTTGTAAAATTAAAACTTAACAAATTTATTTTAGATGATACTATATCCTTGTACAAAAATCGTCTGTTAAACACTTTTATGGCAGGTGTCAGAGACAATGATTTTTTAGTCAGAGCTTCAAGTTTATCCAATTTAGCTGATATATGTTGTCTCCTACGTTATAATCTTGGGTCAATAATATCAGAAATTGTAAATTGTGCAGATTATGTCATTAAATTTGACCCAGCTAATGAACCCAGGCGAGCTGCAGTTCTTTTATTACAACTTATTATACAAGGTGCAAGTTTGGAACTCCTTGAGGTAAGTATTAAATTAAGGATATAATTAATCATCTAAATTCAAAGAAAATTTAATTAATAAATAATTTTGTTCAGATTTTAGGTGACAATATTAAAGATATTTATAATATATTAAAATTTCAATATCAGTGTACAAATGATGAAACAGTCAAGCTACATGCTCAAATAGCAATTGAAAGATTAAATGACATTATGAAGTCTTTATTCCTAGATGGAATAAAAAGAAAACTGAAATAAAAATAAAATGTTGCTATTGATTAAATTTAAAAATGTAAATAATAATTTGTAAAATACTTTACAAAAAAAAGATTTTGTACCTTTATTTAATTATACAATCTATATAATAATAAGTACAGTAAGTATAAAAAATAACATGATATTTGGCATGATTATTTTTAAAAGAAATAATTAAATTCTGATTTAATCAATCACTAAAATTTGTTACATAAATAAAATAATAAACTACAAAAATAAAATTTATATATATAATAATTAAATATTATAAGAAATATAATAGTTCATCCAATGATTTATTAGGAGTACTTCTTAATACCTGGCCTGTCAAAAAAGCCAATTTGTGAGCAAGTTGACATACTGATGGTACACGTACAGTCCCCTTTAAAAATTAATAATACAATAATATTAATAATACAAATTAACTTTCTTTTGTTTTTATTAAACGTTATTAAACATTGATATATTTTTTTAAGAATCAATTATTTTTTAATTGCATTTTTTTTTTTTTACTATAACAGTTATTATCTCATAGAAGAACAATTGTAGGAAAATTTTTCTTTTAACTTCGATCTGAAGCTGAGAAGGTATTAATTTTACTATGATGTGTTTTTTTTTTTGTGTGTATCTGTTGCCACTTTTTCTCAGGTCTCACTGGACTGATATCTTTCAATAATATGTTAAAAGATCACAAATCATATCTAGTTAAAGACCCCTAGTTATATTACCCTTGAAAATTTTGAAAAAATTCCCTAATTTTTTTTATACTGAAACTTAAGGTATTTCCCTTTTATTTGATATAATTTTTTTAAAAATCTGACCTTTACCTGACCACAGGGTGAATTTAAAATAACAACTTATATACAAAACTCAACTTTTAACAATGTTCTGGAAATACTATGTCCTTTATACAAATATCAAATTAAAGCTTATATTATGTACTATAAAATAAAAAAAAATTTGTCTCAACAACTTATCTGCTACGTGCAAATGTTTTTTGTAGTTAAAAATTATTTTTGTATTTAAATTTTTTTTTTTATTTATTTTAAAATGCTTTACAAGGTTTGCCAAAGTATTAAGTCAACCAATTTTTATAAAATTTACATGAATCTAACTCAAGATAAAATATAAATTTAAACTTATTTTGATTATTTTACTTCTTCAAAGTTAAGAAAAGCAACTTTAAATTTTTTAACTATTTATAACAGTTTTTTTTATCTACTTTTTCAAGTAATGTACAGTGGCTACATTGTTCGAACAATATCAGTCAAAATAATTTTTTTCTTAATTCTTTTTTGAGGTGAAAAAAAAATTCAAAATGATTATTAATAAATAATATTCAATGAATATTAAGAACCCTATCAATGTGGTCTCCACCTGTGTGAAGGAATTTCTTGTTCATATTAAAATATTTTACTACATGGTTTTTCTATCTGTCATTCATTTTTTTCAGCTCTCACTTGGCCAATACACCAAAAGAACACAATTTTAATCATGTTGAACTTATAATCACCAAATATTGGAAAAAATCCTTTAATTCTAACAATTTAGACAAATATCTCAAAATTATGCTACTGTTAAAAATATTCACTTCAAAAAGCTATTTTAAATAAAATATCTCCAAATTAATAAGAGTATAAATTTTGTTTTTATATAGAATTATACAATTATACTAAAATGAAATATTTTTTAATGATCATATACTTCACTAAATCAAATTTTTCAATTTGATTTCAAGTCTGAAAATTAAATTTAGTCTATTACCTCTATTTTGAGATGATTACTAATTATAATTTATTTACAAATGAAAAAAATTTTTATTAATTTTTAAAAATAATCCGTTTAAAATTTCAATTGAAAATGTCCTTTCTAATTAATTTTTATAAGTTTATAATTTAAAAATTTTGAACTTATGAACACTATTTTAACTAAACTTGCATGTTTAGAATTTATATCATTAAATAAAAAATTTTATGAGAAAAAAATTGTAATTTTTAGATTGATACGTGATCAGAAACTTTTTTTTTGTATTTATTGTAATAAATTGTTTTTATGGAACTCCTAGTAATCATTTCTAGGTAACTTATGTTGTTTAAATAGATGCTACAATAATTATATTCTGTTATTTCGTATAAACTATATCCTATAGTATTCTATAATATATAGAATACTATATATTATATAAAATTTGATATTCAAAAATATTCCATTCCTAGTTTCACCTATGATTTCGACTGCTGTTGTGTTGTTGAATTTCATTTTAGCCTATATATATTTGGTTATTTTTTATATATTAATACTCATTTTTAGCTAATTATTAATAATATCAAAAATTAGTGGTGATGGAAAATATTTAATTACAGATTTGAAATCAGAATGAAAAATGGGTTAAGAAGAGTATATTTTGGTCTCTGATAAAAATTCCTTGTAGACCAGTAAATTTATTAATAAGTAACAAATAATTTCTTTTGAAAAGTATTGCATCAAGCCCTTCAATTTTGCCATAAAAGTAATGTTTACTTTATTATTTTCTATAATATCTCCATAAAAATTAAAAAATTTTTTTTTTAATTATATATTAATTTCATACTACATTGATATCTATAATAAATATTTATTCATATAAATCATAAAACTTAATCAAAATATATATAAGGAAATAAATGTTCATTTTGCTTTTTGAATAATCCGTCAATTTTTTTTAAATTAAACACTACAGTTTTTCATCAAAGTGTTTCTTATGATAGTAATTTTAATCACTGTCAGATATCATCTGTACTAGTCCCAACTATGCTACGCCACACTATACCACGACCTCACTGTTCTACCATTTTTTTAAACTTTAACTTAATTGAAAATTTATGTTTCACTATTTTTAGATTAAAATTGGGTTTTTTTTATTTAATGATCATTAAAATCAGTCTATAGAGCTATGAATTTTTAAGAACAGATATAAAAAATACGCACACTAATACAAAACCAATATCTCCCCAGCTATGCATCAAAGCTAAATATATATTTATATACTTTTTTTTTTCAAAATAACAATTTTTTAGAGATTATAAAATATGTTAATAGGTTGATAACAACTTTAGGATATGTATTTATTGAGTTACAAGCATTTTAATATATTGAGTAAGTATTTTAAAAAACTATTTTGAAATTTTGAAAAAATTAAAAAAAATAATGTTCAAGTCAAACTTACAAATGATTTCACATAATATAATAAAGTATAATTACTAAGATATAAAATTTAATTATCAGTATTTAACATTGTTGTAGTAAAATACTAAGTAATACTCACCGACCAATTATAGTAGGCATGGCATAATTTATAGGTAATTGTTTGGACAAGATCAGGAGGATAATTAATATTGTCCTCAATTACCTGATAGTGAGTAGGTGTAACTGTACCTCTGTGTACCTTTTGTGATACAAGGTAAAAATCATATCTAAAACACAAGATTTTTTATGTTCAATATTTAACTAAAATAATTAAATTTCAGATTAAAGTAAATTATTTTAACTAGTAATAAAATAACAAATAAAACTTCAATGCTTACTTGGTTGGATCAGTTACAACAGAATCAATTATAGTACCAGGATCAGGATTTACAAATGTATCATGTTGCTTTATGAAAAAGCGTGAACTAATACGTTTTGTCACTATAATAAATATAATTGTAGTTTTACCTTTGCAAATTTCTAATGCATTCTATAGTAAATAAACAAATAAACAGTGATATTAAATAAAGTTTTTACATTAAAATAAATATTTTTACTTTTAGCAATGCAATTTCAATTTTATGAACTTGAGAAATCTGTCCTTCTCCTACTCCATCTCTATATATAAAAATTTGTGATGGATACTCACCATTCTTTAACTTATACTTAAATAAAGCCTCTAAAAAAAAAGTTTACAAAATGCTTATTCAAATTTTTTTAAAAGGCCTATACTTACTTCCTACAGAAACTGCAAAATGGCTTGAAATTTCTTCATTATTCTGATGAGGTTCTACACAACTGAAATATGTAGTATAATAATCATCCATAGTAGCAACTAATGCACCATATGATATATTTTTTCTTTGACTATCGTGACAAACATCAAAACCTACAAACATAATTTTCTAGAACAAAGAAATTATTACATTTATTTAAACATATTATAACAATCAAAACAATTTAATTCATAATTGGATAATGTTATATTAACTATAATTTAAAAAAAAAAGAAATTTTTTTATCAGTGATCTTGTGTTACTAAGTCTACTTGTAATCCTAGTAAAATAAGGCAATAAAATATAAAAATTGAATATTATATGCATTTAATTCTAATGTATAAAATAAATAGACAAATGAATATTACGACATAATTTATTTGTTAAAAACAAACATTTTTATTTTCACAAAAGTTTTTCAAATTTAATATATATCTTATAATGCTCTATTATTTTTTTTAAATCAATAAATGTTTATTTATCATAAATATTGAGTATAAAGAAATGGTATTGTTTTTAGTAAATAATTTAATACAAGCAATATTCTTAATTACTGCTTATTTGTACCTTGAACCACAAAAATATCTTGCACCAAAATATTTATAAAATAAAATCCATAATTTAATTTTCACTCACTTAAAATCAGGGATTGAAACTGTTTTCATAACGTCAGGGATTTAGTAGTTGTGCCGCCCTAAATGACCTTTTTATTTTACTCATCAAAATAATTTTTCTGTATATTTTATACATCTGTATTTTTTATAATTTGAATAAACCAAATAAAAGTCTTCAACTCTATAACTTATATTATATCTATAACCTTATGATTATAACTACCAAAAAACGATTGAAGTCATAAATCGTAAAAAAAACATGTAACGACAAACAATACATAATTTAAAATGAAATAAAAACAAAACAAAACCATATAGATCATTTGTTATAACTTGTAAGGTACAATTAATTTAGGGAAAATATAGCTACGAACAAGCCAGTGTTTCTAATAACAAATTAATAAATAAACAAGTACTACTAGATTAAATTTAGGTTCTTTAATTGTGTAGATTGCAAAAATAATTTTCATTATGATCAGTGTAATTTAAAACAAAATGAAAAAAATTACAATTTTTTACAGAAATTTTGCAATTTTTGGTTTTAATGTGAAATAACTAATAGAAAAAATATCTTTAAGATGTTATTATTATTTTTTTTAATACTCTTAAATAGCTTTAATTTGATATAGGTTTAAAGAACCTAGACGTTGCAAAATATTTTCAAAAATTGAAAATGAAGAAACAGTTGATTTCTCTAGAAGGAAAGTAGTTGGGACAATTTTTTCCTTCAATCATTAAATACGATTCTAGAACTTCAGTTTGATATAGATCTGAAGAATGCAGACGTTTTATGCGTGAGTCTTTCAAAGCCTTCCTATATTAAGATTTTTATAAATACCACACTAAAAGAAATTTTTTATTATCTTTTATGTATTTTATTATCAGAATTTAACAAAAAAAGTTATAGTGGTTTTTAAATGCATAATATAAGTGTTGAAAATGCCATTTTTTACGGTAGCTAGTAACTTTGAGATATTTGTCTAAATTTCTAAAACTGAGGGATTTCTTTTTTACTTTCAAAAGTAATATATTCAAATAGATCAAATAGATTATCAAAATCAGTATAGAGAGAGCTAAGAATTTTTAAGGACAGACACAAAAAAAAACACATTATGGTAAAACCAATACCTTCTTAACTTAGTATAAAAAGCTAAACATGGGTTTGAAAAGTTTGAAAACCAATAAATATAAAACAATATAAACCCATGACGTGCTAATTATTTAAAATATATATTATATTTGATTTCTAAATTTTAAAAAACATTATTTATAAATTCATTTTTTTTTATAATTTCAAGGATACAGTTTAAATTTAAGGAAAAATTTTATTGAAACAAAGGTACACTATATGTTGTATCTTGAAGATTGTAAACTTGAAAAATTAAATAAATTATAATTATAATAAAAATAAATTAAAAATTTAAATAATGAGAGATTTGAAAATTTAGCAAAACGTATCTATGTGCAATAGTGGGCATTAACTAGTTAAAAAATTAATTTTTTTTTAACTTTTCCACTTAACTAAAATTATCGAAAATAAATGTAAAATAAATGAAAAGTAATAATATCATGGATTTATAAAAATATTATATCATTTTTGAAAAAGTTATGGCAGTTTTAAGTAAAAAAAATTGAAAAAAATTTCTAAAATTAGCGATTTTTAAATTTGTAATTTTTTTGGAGGTTTCCCCTATTTACGGGGAACGAGGGAATTTTTTTCAATTTTTGAGGGTAATGTCTTCGGCTAGATACGATTTGTGATCTTTTGACGTATCATTGAAAGAAATCGGTTCGGTGAGAGCTGAGAAAAAGTGGTAACAGACACAAAAAAATAAACACATCTTAGAAAACCAATACCTTCTCAGCTTCGCATCGAAGCTAAAATATTATAGCAATTTTAAGTTAAAAAAAGTAAAATAAACGGTAATTTTCGGATTTCAATAATTGTAATTTTTTGGGGAATTCTCCCCATTTGCGAAGAACGAAAGACTTTTTTTACACTTTAAGGTTAATATCTTCAACTAATGATAATTTGTTATCTTTTGATATATTGTTAAGCTAAATCGTGGATGGGAACTTCTAATAAAAGACACAAAAAAAAAAAAACAACTTATAGTGAAACTAATACCTTCTCGGATTCGCATCAATGTTAAAACGTGAAATTTTCAAAATTAAGAGTATTAAGTGAGTTTTAACAAAAGTGATATCAAGGTACAATACACTCCCTTATATAGTTTTAATAACATCAAAATTGTTACCTTTTTAGGAATTGTAACCTGCCAAGGTGATCCACCCATTTTACAATTTAATTGAATTGCAATTTTTGTACACACTGACATATTTTTTTTTGTGACATTCTTTAACAATACAACTTGAGATGGTACTAAAAGTGATTCATTAATATTAATTGATGCATAAGTTATCAATATGTTTACATTAAAATAAAAAAATTGAAAAAACGTGTAACATACCTGCTCTATCAACACATAACTTTCGCTTAATTGCACTATAAACATCCCCTCTACTAAATTTAATTACACAAAGTATTAAAGAAGGATTATGTTCACTAATTGCTCTTTCTAAACGATTCAAATATGTACCAGTTTTTCCATCTGGTAAAGACATTCTAGTAAAAAAAATAATTATTTATGTAATAAAAACATACATTTTTAACAAAAAACAAGTTTTCTTACAGAATTGGTGGTGGTAAATTAAATGACATACCACTTCCTGCACTTGAAAGATCTGTTATAAAGTCTTTTACTGCTGCCATGTTATCTCCTGGAGCAACAACTACCCAATGTTTAACTTTTACACAAGTGTACATTGGATTTGATCGTAAATGTTTAGTCCAATCTGCATTTTTGTCTCCGCTATATTCTCCATTATTGCTTTTTATTTTTTCAGGAAGTAAAACTCGAGCAGGTATTGTAACTAAGTTTTTGCCAAGAGTAAGGTTCCAATTGTTCAATTCATTTACAATCTATCAATAGAAGAGAAAATATAATAATTTAAACAACTCGAGTTTAATTCAACATACTTTTTCATTTCCCTGAAGACGTCGATTAAAATTCATTAGACGCTTATATCTTTCAGATGGATCAACCCGTGTATGATCAGCTAAATCTCTCATGAGGTTAAAATTATTACTGGAACAATATTTTAAATTTTTAGAACCACATACTATTGAAATTTAATATTTTGATATTTTTAGTGACCTACCTTGTACATGTTTAATAGTATCAAATGAAAACTTAACCAGTTTAAATTTAAAATTATTACTAAAACCCAGTCATTAAAAATCACTACAGAAATTAGGAATCTATCGAAAATTACTTTTTTTTTATCTTTGGGTGATAATGAATCAAAAAAGCTCCTAATGAATTATACCCAGGAAGTTACATGAAGTGAAACGAACCAAAAACACATACCCACAGCAGCCAATCCCATGTAGATAAACGGTGTTTGAGATTGTTTTTATCATTAGATTAATAGAAAATTGATATTCTGTAATTATTCCTGACACTTTCTATTTTACAAATTCACAATAAAAAATCTTTATTAGATAGAACTACTCATTAACTTAATGGATGCGGAATAGAGGGATAGAATCTCACATCAAGAAATTAAATAACATTTAATTATATATTATATTATAGAGATATAATTTATAGAGAATAGAACAAATATATTTTACTCACCACTCCCCTAAAAGAAAAACCTCAAAACGCTACTGTAACTACATTATAATACAAAAAAAAATAAGGAGTGAGATAAAAAAAAATGCTTTACGTATAAATAGATTATAAATAATAAGTTATATTAATATTTAGTTTAACGTTATTCATCATTTATTCGTTGTATAATTTTAATTTATAAGATTTTAAACTATAACTTGACATAACCTTTTCCCGAAAACATTTTTTTTATAAAAATGTATATTTTATATAAAAACTTTTTTTAGGTCGGATAAATAAGAAAATATAAACAAATAGCTTCTATTTGCTACATTATTCATAACGTTTTTCTCGTCTAGTAATTTCACGATATTTGATTGATAAAAACTTTTTTTTATAAAAAATAATATCAATTAATTTGATAAGAAAGTTTTAAGTATTTAGAGTCAGTTGTACAAAAGAGTGGTGATATTGACGAGAATGTAAGACACAGAATTAAGTACGGATGGTTGAAGTGGAAAGAAACGTCTGGCGTCATATGCGATAAAAGAATTCCAATGAGGCTGAAAGGTAAATTCTACAAGACTGTAGTGAGGCCAGCTATAATGTATGGTTCAGAGTGTTTGGCGGTTGACAAGTAGAGCAGAGAATGAGTGTAGCAGAGATGAGTATGCTTAAATGGATGAGTGGAGTGACTAGAAAAGATAGGACAAGGAACGATCAAATAATAGGGCGTACCGGTGTAGCCTCAATCGTAGATAAAATAAGATAAAATAGACTAAGATTTTATCATGTTATGAGGAGAGAGAAATCGGAAGCTGCGATAATAATTATGGAAATAAATGTCAGTAAAAGACAAAATAAGTAGCGGAAGACTAAAAAATAGATGGAGGAATGTTATTTAATGCAAGAATAAATCTATAAGTTATACTTTTCAGCTCTTTTTACTTTTATTTCAATAATAAAAAGCAATGTGTCAACCCTAATCTTAAATGTAATAAAAAAACCCAGCACAGGGGGGTCGCGGCACAGTCTTGACGTGGCATAGATGGATCAAGTATAATGATATCTGACAGTGATTAAAATCACTATAAAAAAAAAACGCTTCGATGCAAATCTTTAGATAGTGTTTAATTTTAAAAAATTGGTGGATTATTCCAAAAGCTACAAGATCTGCTAGCTCCTTATTAATATCCTGATTAAGATAAAGTATGTCGAATGAACAAGGGATTATTAAAAAATTTTTAAATTTTAAGTAAAAAAAATTGAAAAAAATTTCTAAAATTAGCGATTTTTAAATTTGTAATTTTTTTGGAGGTTTCCCCTATTTACGGGGAACGAGGGAATTTTTTTCAATTTTTGAGGGTAATGTCTTCGACTAGATACGATTTGTGATCTTTTGACGTATCATTGAAAGAAATCGGTTCGGTGAGAGCTGAGAAAAAGTGGTAACAGACACAAAAAAATAAACACATCTTAGTAAACCAATACCTTCTCAGCTTCGCATCGAAGCTAAAAAACTATATTAACATTATATAGTGTTTAGTAAGAAAATGGTTTTCTATTGTTCTTATTGTGTGTAAGAATCAACCGATTTCCTTACTTACTGAACACACTGTATAAAATATCAAAATTATTTGTATATGAATACATTAATTCTCATGAATTAATTTATATATTTTGTGTTTATTTATCAACAAACAATAATATTGCAAGAATGAGACAATGATGATTGTTAGAGGATATAAAATATTATAAAAAGCAGAGCAATTCCTCAAAATCTGTTCTAATTGCGCTTTCAACATCACCACTTAAAAATTGTAATCATCATCGTCGGAATTCTTACGTGTTAAGTTTGTGAACTAAAAGTTATATTTGTGTTATTTTGTTAACAATTATTACTTAATACTGTCACTGAAGTTATTATAAGAACAAAGAAAAAGTCAGGTAAAATTTTAAATCAATAAGAGTCAGTCAATACTTATATTATTTTATGACCCTCGAATCACACTCTGAATTAAAGTAACTATTACTTTTTATCAACCATTTTTCATTTTTCTAATATTAATTTTTTTATAATTTTAATAAAACAAATAGGTTCTACATTTTTATTTATTTTTTTAAGTTTTCAGTTATAATAAAATTACGCTTAACTTTTTTTATAAATTTTTTTAAATTATCAATATTTAAAAAAATAAATGTTTACCGTAATGATTCACTCAGTCCAGTCATTAAACAAAATTCCGGGACTAAATAAATAAGAGTTTCTTCAGTTGTATTTTTCTTCTTATTTTTTGATATGAGCATTGGTTGATTATTATTCTTTATTACTAGTTCATATTTCTATAAATTTATTTCAATTTTTTTTATTCGAGGCACAAAATAACAATATCCAATACAAGATTTCATTTTATGAGAATATAAAAAAAATTAAAAATACCTCCTGATAATATTGAATATATGAAATTTTCGAGCCATCTTTTTTTAGAAATGTCGAAGAAGGATTTGATGTTTCCTCAACTTCATTAATGCGGTACATTTTCTTATTATAAGTGGTCATAACTGTTGCTCCTATCACTACTTTTTTAAAAGTTGTCTATAAAATTAAAAAAAAATAAGTTATTAAAAATTCAATATCAAGATCATTATCATAAAAACGCTTTGATACGAATCTGTTAGATTATACAGTAATTTGCATATTTGTAACTTCGCAATTTAAATGTTTTAAAATTTTACTGAAGTATAATTACTTGTCTAATTATTTACTTAATTGAAAATAAAGTTTGTTTTGGTAATAATTGGGAGTTTTTTACTTTGACAGCCGATTTCTCATGCCAGAGCACAGATTTATATGATATATAAATTTTGGACACACAATTAGCTAGTACAAAATTTTATTAATTGACTTGAAAACTTAATTATATGTATTTACCGACATTTTAGAGAGGATAAGGAGGTTGAACTAAAACTAAAAAATATTTTTACGTTACTATGTAAAATCTACGACAAGGTTACATAAACTTGGGATTTTTAAAGCGGTTTAAACAAAGTTTATAAATGCATATAATTTATTCCACGCTTTTATCAAAGTAAAACAATTATAGGGATAGTTTTATTTCTATAAATATTATTGTACACTTCATAAGTTCAAACTTGATATAAGTTCAAATGGGGCGTATATTGAAACAGAGCATTTTGAAAAATTGATTTCAAAATTTTTTTTTTTACATGTGTGTATAATTTTGTTTAAATTTATCCTATAACTTAGATTTTTATAAAACAATTTATCTAAAGAATATTTTTGACTCTAGTATACAATATTTAAATTTCATTCAGATCATTGTTTTTTAAAAAAGTTATAACAAATTTAAAATGTAGGAAAAAAAAAGTTTTGTAAATTTTAGGTTTGACTAAAGTTAGAATCCGGTTCTTTTAACAAATAAATCTACACAATTGGTCTAGTAAGAGATATAAATTTGCATGAACGCACATCATGATAAAACTAATATCTTATATATCAACTTTGTATCCAAAATTATGAGTAAAATTATTTAAAAAAAACTACCAACAATAGAATTTCAAATAAATAACTAAGAAATTTTCTTTTTATTATTAAATTTTATAAAAAATATAAATCAAAGCATAAAAAACTTGAAGCAGCAAATTTAAATTAAATTTCACATAATATACAAAGTATAAAAGTACCATTACTAAGCAGATATTCCATACTGAACCCATAATTGTAATTATAATATTGTCTACATGTTACTGCTTTATTCATTACACTTATTGAAATATTAACTGTAAATAGTAAATATATTACTACTTACCATCCAATCTTGATCTCTATTTCTATTATTAAGACATTCTATAAAAAAGTCAAACACAGATTCTTGACGAATAACTTTTGAGGATATATCAGCACATAACAATATATTATCTTCATATCTGGCCATTGAGGTTTGATATCCTGGCCAAAGTTGAAGATTATACTGTCTAAAATCAGTCTAAATAACATAAAATTTAATTTGAAATTAACTATTTTAAATGCCTTTCATAAAATAAGTTGGATCGTAAAATGGTAGACTTAAAAAACTTTTTAATAAAATCACAGAACAAATTTGTTTAAAATAATTAAGCAAGAACCACATAATCAAGCAATAAATAAAAATAACATTATTAATGGTAAAATTATCAACAATTTTATACTAGAGAAATTTTTGAGAAATTTCTTCCATCCTGTATTTTGTTACCTCAATTTTTCATAAGCCTTTGGTAGCTCTAACATTTTTTTGGAAAGGGCAGTTTTCTTTCTTTTAATATACATTTTGTATTGACATTAAATTAAAAGCTGCAAAATATTTATAACATTTAAATTTTTTATTTTTGTTTAGTGGGATGGTGTGGCCGAGTCAGTAACGCGGCACTGCTTGACGTGCACTGCTTCGGGTTCGAAACTCGGTCACGGGCGGCTTCATTAGCCGAACAATAGATCAGTTCGGTAATAGGAGTCGCCATCCCACTTTCCGGCGACGGACTAACCACCCGTCCCGGAGTATAAATGGTTAAGAAAACCTCCTCCTGGGAGAAGATTGCTATGGCCCTTAATGGACTAATAAAAGTAATGCAAAAAAGGATTAATCAAACCAACAAATATTTATATTAAATTTAACTATATAAAAAGTAAATGTACAAGTAAAAGGTAATAAAAACACCTCAAATAACAAAATTGGATTAAATATATAGTTTATCCAGAACAATATATGATTAAATAAAATTTAATTAAACAGTTTAACTTAAAAGGAGTATTAGAGAAAGAAAGAACAAAAAACAGCAGTGGAGTCGTGGCATAGTTGGGTGCAGTATAGATGATATCTGACAGTGATTAAAATCACTATCATAAAAAACGCTTCAATGCAAATTTGTAGATAGTGTTTAATTAAAAAAAAAAAATTAGGTCAAGGAGAGCTGAGCAAATAAATGATAGCTACAAAAAAAAACCACATAGTAAAATAATATTAATATGAATTTCTTCTCACGAGAGGAGACTACAGTAATGGGATTTATGATATTTATTGAAGTTATTGAATCTAAATGAGATAAAAATCAAATGAGTTAATCATTTCTTTCTAACTCAAAAAGAATTAAGAAAAAATTCAGCGCCACAGGCATGAAAGACCCAATTGTTACCGTCTCAGAAACCGTACGTCTCATTTGTCACTTAATAAAAATGGAAATTTAGCTAGTTCAAAATTTTAAGTTATTTTTCTCGACTTCAAAGAAACAAAAAAATTTAAATATGTTTAATTTTTTATACTATGTCAATTAGATTGATATAATATTTATGAAAATCAGTGTAATCCCCTTATAATAAAATAAAATACAAAACCAAGAATTTTAACACAAAAATAGCATATTTTTGAATACGGTAGCTATTTTCACTATGAAGACAAATTAAGTCCGAAATGTTTTTAAATATTAAAGTATATTACATAAGCTTTAATTTAAGATATATATAAAAGTGTTAGAATTTCCGGAACACTTTCAAAAATTAACTTGAAAAAGTTCTACTTTCTATATGCATTTTAAAAATTTGAACCCTCCCTGTATTAAGGGAACTGGTCCGATTTAAAAAACAAGTATGTCGAATTAAAGAGGTATATAAATATTATTTCTCATAAAAAAATTGTATTGATCCATTTTACAAAAAGTTATAGCATAATAAAGTTAAAAATGTAAAATACAAAATCAAAAATTTTCACACAACAATAGCATTTGGTAGCCATTTTTACCGTGAAGACAAAATAAAGTCCGAAATTTTTTTTTCCATAATAAAGTATATTACATTAGCTTTAATTTAAGATATATATAAAAGTGTCAGTATTTTCGGAACACTTTCAACAGTTAAGTTGAAAAAGTTAATATTTTGTGAAAAAGTTGTCATTTTGAATCCCCCCTGTGGGCTGGTAAAGGGTTAAATTTATAAAAAAAATATACCAAATGATAGGTAAAGACATCAAGCATTTATAAAAAAAAAAATTATATTGATTTGTTTATTTTTGAAAAAGTTATGGTAGTTTTAAGTAAAAAAAATTGAATACATTTCGAAAATTAGCGATTTTTAAATTTGTAATTTTTTTGGAGATTTCCCCCATATACGGGGAACGAGGGCAATTTTTTCAATTTTTGAGGGTAATGTCTTCGACTAGATACGATTTGTGATCTTTTGACGTATCGTTGTAAGAAATTTATTTGGTGAGAGCTGAGAAAAAGTGGTAACAGACACAAAAAATAACAATTTTTGTATCAACATAGCATTGCTAACGAAAGAGCACTTGACTTTGTGTCTCATCCTTTAAATACAACACTAGTAGGTAACAACTTTATAGTCAACCATATTAATAATTAATATTTCTGATATGTTAAAATTAGAATATTCGAAACAAGTAAATTGTTATGTATGCTGCTGTTACATTTCTAGTATAGCAACCCTAAAATAAATGTTATTGACACAACATTACTAAAAATATATTAATATACCATTAAACTAACCTTTTCTTTTGAATCATAAAAGTTTCGGCCAATTAATGTCAAGCCAAGATGTTGAATGCAGCTACGTAAAAGTATATTAAAAACTTGTATATAGACATGATCACCAGGTTGTAATGCATTTGTAAATTTAACCTTAATAATAAATTTTTGCTCATCAGATGTACGTGTTGATGTTAATTCGAAAGCCTATAAAAGAAAATACGTAGAAGATAAGAATTACGTAACATAAGCTTTAGTTTGAGCATATTTTTGAATATGGTAGCCATTTGCGTATAGAAGATAGGTCGTCGGGACAAATTTTTTTTTTTTCATTTTGTAGTACATAAAATAAGCTTTAATTTTATATATGTTTAAAAACGCAGTATTTCTGGAACATTTTCAAAAGTAAAGTTGAAAAAATTTAGTTTTGTAAAAAAGTTGCTATATTGAATCCCCTCTTATGGGCAGATAAAGTGTCAGATTTTCAAAAATATTATACCAAATAAAAGTAAATTACTAACTGTTTTAGTATAAAAAAAATTATTTTGAATCTTTCATTTTTCAAAAAGTTATAGTAGTTTTATGAAAAAAATGTCAAAATTTACCGATTTTAAAAATTGTAATTTTTTGGGGGATTTTCCCAATTTACAAGGAACGAGGGATTTTTTTTTCATAATTTTCAAGGGCAATGTCTTTAACTAGACACAATTTGTGATCTTTTGACGTATCATTGAAAGAAATCGGTCCAGTGAGAGCTGAGAAAAAGTGGCAACAAACACACAAAAATAAAAAATAAAAAAAAACACATCTTAGTAAAATTAATACCTTCTCAGCTTTGGATCGAAGTTAAAAAAATTATTTTAATTTGTTCATTTTTCAAAAAGTTATAGCGATTTTTTATGCTATATTTAGATTAAAACAATTTTTTAATTTTTTTATGACCTCATTTTTATGGCTATTTTAATGTAAAAAACGTTAAAAATAGCCAAACGTTAAAAAAAACTCACAGATTTTTCAATATTAATTTTATCAAATTAAAATTTTAGAATGACCTTATTATAACTCAAAGTTTACTAAAAAAAAAAAATTTATATGAAACTCTAAACTGTAATAAATTTCTAAATTGGGGCTTTTCTATATAAATTCGCTTTTTTAAGCTCAATTTTAACCATTAAGAAGTTATTATTTATAGTGATTTTTGAATGTGGGATATTATATAGTGTACTAAATTTTAAATATTTAAAACAATTTTTTTTGGGATTTAAAGGTCCACAAAGTTAGAAATTTTATAAAAACATAGTTATACTAGGTGCATTAATTCTGTTGGGAGACCTAATTTCAAAAAAAATTTTTTTTAATTTTTTAGTTATATCTGTTTAATACACCATAAAAGTTAAGTTTTATGAAAAAGTGTAACATGTAAACTTTAGCATTAAAAAATCAGTAAAAGGACACTCAAAATCAAAAAATAATATATATAATGATAATTTTTTGCTGTCTTTAAACCACATTTTTGTAATTGATTTTTATTATTATATATATAATATATTATAATTAAATATAATTATTATACATGTTATAACTATTCAATTCATTATTTTAGTTGCACAATAATAAATAAATTAATTAAATTACTAGGCTCCGCTCCAGACCCGGAGTCCTACGAGCTTTACGCGCCTTCGTCGCGTAAGCCTCTTCGGGCCGTCATCATAAGTAGGACACTGATTCCTGTAGGGGTACCCGGTTTGCACGATAAGTGTTTTGCAGAAAAAATATTACATCAGAATCAGTGTAACAAAAATATATTAAAAATGTTATTATTAAAATCAGGAAAATTCAAAAAGAGAAAATAGTAAAATGTATTAGGTATAAGGTTGACGTTTGTTAATGAGGTATTCCCTTTAGGCCTATTCAAAAATTATTTTAGGAGGGTATTTAATATTTTTTACTTTGTTAAACATGTTATACAATTTTTTTTGCTAAAAATTAAGTAATAAAGAAAAAAAAAGGACATTAGGTCCTTATTTATTAGAAGTTGCCTAAAATAATATTGATAGCGCTGGTTCAAGGGGGGCCATATATCCCTTAAATACACCCCTGGTATACACAAAAATTATTAATATTCTAATTATAATAATTGTGTTTATACTATCTTATTATATAATAGAACAAGGAAAAAAACGCTTTTCTGGGAAAATTACTTAGCGTGCTCGGATTTTCAAAATATTTTAGCTTCGATGCGAAGCTGAGAAGGTATTGGTTTTACTAAGATGTGTTTTTTTTTTTTTTTGTGTCTGTTACCACTTTTTCTCAGCTCTCACCGAACGGATTTCTTTCAACGATACGTCAAAAGATCACAAATTGTATCTAGTCGAAGACATTACCCTTAAAAATTGAAAAAAATTCCCTCGTTTCCCGTAAATGGGGGAAACCTCCAAAAAAATTACAAATTTAAAAATCGCTAATTTTCAAAAAATTTTCAATTTTTTTTACTTAAAAGTGCCATAACTTTTTCAAAAATGAACGTATCAATATAATTCTTTTTTATATAGATGAATAATATAATTACCTTTCATTTGGTATATTTTTTTTATAAATTTAACCCTTAACCTGCCCACAAGGGGGGTATTAAAATGACAACTTTTTCACAAAAAATTAACTTTTTCAACTTAA